TCGGCTCAGATAAGACTGAAACACACTCTTATAGGCCTCAGGGAGTCCCACATGGCTGCTCTTTAGATGCTCTGCACTCAGATGGCTGGACACATGCACCATACAGTGGGGGGCTAATAGATTTATTAAGGTCATCTCTGTGGTGCACGGAGCGTAAATGAACACCTGCTGATGCACCACCCACCTTGAACAAACAACTATTATAGGGTCAATGATAAATAAAGAGGTAATGAATACGAAAAATATGTTTAAAATCCATTTATCTAGTTTAAAATGTGCAAATGTCTGAGAAATTAAATGTTATGTCGTTTTCACCAGATAAACATAAAGTAAAATACAGTATATACCCGTCAAAAGTTTGGAATAATTAACATTTTTAATGTTTTTGAAAAAAGGTCTCTTATGCTCACTATGACTGCAAAACTATATTTTCAGCATCTTTACTACAGTCTTCAGTGTCACATTCTTCAGATATCATTCTAATATGATTAGCTGCTCAGGACACATTATTTATTAGTATTAATGTTGAAATTGTTTAACATTTTTGTCTAAACCACAGCCATTCAAAAGTTTGAGGTATGATTCTTCAAAGACAGAAATTAATACTTTTATTCAGCAAGGATACATTAAATTAATCAAAAGTGACAGTAAATATAATGTTACAAAAGATTTACATTTTAAATAAATGCTGTTCTTTTGAACTTTCTATTCATCAAACTTTCCCTTAAAAAAAGAATTATGTTTCTTTTACATTCCAACATTGATAATAATAAAAACCATTATTAATAACTGAGTAATAATAATAGATGATAACTGCAAATCAGAATATATTGAGATATTTGAAGGATCATATGACACTGAAGACTGGAGCAATAGCTGCCGAAAATTCAGATTTACATAGGAATAAAGGACATTTTAAAATATATTCAAATAGAAAACAGTTTAAATTGTAATAATATTTCATATGAATATTTTTTTTTATCAAATATTTGGGCCATACATTAAAAAAATAATCTATCAAAATTCATTTAAATTGAAAATTTTATCTGCTAAACTGAAAAATGTCTGTGCTTCAATTTCATGCTGTCATATCTTTCAATAAACATTTCCTGTCCTCATATTTCAAATGTCTTTAAAAACATACTAAATAGTGTTTTATTAAAATATAAAAATGCATAAAGTTTTATGTGATGGGTAGGTTTAGGGGAGTTAGTGTAGGAGTGTAGGAGGATATAAAATACAGTTTGACCAGTATAAAAACCATTACGCCTATGGAATGTCCTCACAAGTATAGCAAAACAAACCTGTGTGCGTGCGTGCACAAAACAAGCACCAAAGTGACACTTTCTGCTTAGGATTCATTCTTTAGAAAATATCTTGAGAATGTTTATTATAAAAATATAAATGTTTCCACTACAAATCATTTTACATTAGTAGACAAGGCCATCTACACACTCACACACATACACACGCACACACATCAATCTAAAGAAGGGGAACAGGACGCAAAACATTATTGCTCTTCAAAACATCTTCAACAAATAAAACACATGGTACACTGATAAGGTTGCAACATAACCGTGTCTTAACTTACTGAAGGCTTACTGAAGAAAGAAAATCTGCACTGTGTATGGTATGGTGGTTTGTTGTTAAGAAATAAATAAGAAGTCATTATAATTGTTTTTATGTAAAAAACAAATACAATACAAAATAGCAAAATATAATACAATGGAACTCTGTAAAGGTTGTACAGATATCTTGTTCATTCTTTTATACATACATACAGACATTTGTACAGAGATGGCCAGGTAAATGATAGTACCTCTAGACGAGTCACCACTGCTATCATCACAGGTCCGGTTCACATGCTAACAGCAGGGGTAAAGCAACATTTACAGGCAGAATCAAAGGGACGTAGAGGAAACATGGATTGTTCCTTCATAAGGTAGTGCAGTACATGGCCAGACTGTCTTAAGAAAATATTCAGATGATGATTTGAAAATGTTGAGACACTTAGAAGTGTATTAAGCCTAATGGCAATATCCAGTCTCAAATTAATAAATGATCAGGAACCTATTGTGAAGATGAGAGTTGGCCGCTGATGGCCGCTGTCCATTCAGAATAGCCATAGCAATGTGAGAAATTATCATAAGATCAAATTTAGCAAAATTTTATAAATGAGGCCCCTGATCTCGAAATGAACGTCACTGATGCAGAGCATGGCTATGTTCGGAATAGTACACTACCATACTACTCTTACTAAGTATATAGTGTACAAACTCGTAGTGTGCACAGAAGGCACATGTTTTGTATTCATGGAATATCCAGATGATATGTACTAACAGAGTACACTGCACACAATGCTATATCCATTACAACAAGCTTGATTTAATCATTAATTTCTGGTGTGACACATTGCTGGAAGTTTGCACGATTCTTTTCCACAAACCAGTTCAAACTCCGCCCCTCAGATTTCATTGGTCATGTCATGACAGGTGACTGATAGAGCTGACCAGTGAGTTTGTGAGTTCACCCCCCCCCCCCAAAAAAAAAAAATGGAAATTCTGTCAGCATTTACTCACCCTCATGTCTTTACAAACCTGTATGACTTTCTTTTATCCGCAGAACACAAAAGAAGATACTTTGAAAAATGTTAGTAACCATTTTTTTTGGTGCTCATTGAAAATATTCTCCATTATCTTCCTTTCATTTTCCACAGAAAAATCATATAGTCATACAGGGGTGCATTTCCCGTACAACGACATAGTTCACTACCTCACTACCATAGTATGATGCATCGTTGGAGAAATCAACTAGCTAGTCACGACTGTTTCCCGAAACCCATTGTCGCAGAGTATCGTTCAACCACGTTGGTTTCGCGCGTGGTGGACTATAACTACTTTTAATGAAACTGTTTGAGATCCAATTAACGCTAGATTTTTTAATAAAATTTATAGACATGTCATCTGAGGACTATTTCTAAATGTTCTTAGTAATTTTGCTTTATTACCAGACTCAATATTTGGCTCGTTCTTACATAGTAGAGCACGTTCGCACATGCGCACTCTTCAGACATGGTACTTTAAATCTTATGACGAACTAAAAGACGTAAATTACATTTGTATGTATTCTCAATAAAAGGCATGGGTTGTACTGAATTTCAGCTCGCTTATTTTGCTAAAGATAAGGATTTATTACGTCCAAATGTGTTGCAATATAGAAACGATGCCTCTAACCACAGGTCGAGAGCTGTCGTTCAAACCACACACGTCGGGAAACACCAACTCGTTGAAATATGCTGATAACGACGGAACTTGCGACCATAGTTGGCTAACGATGCTTTCGGGAAACGCACCCCTGGTTTGGAACAACATGAGGTTGAATACATGATGACAGAATATTAATTTTGGGTGAACTATCCCTTTAAGTGGTTTGAAAAAAAATTAATAAATCACATGTGACATTTAATTGTCTTTCTTGACTTATTTGATTGGCTGCCAAATGTTAAACTCTATTTGAAGCACAATTCACAACTCATTCCACTCCCATAAACCGATTTCCAGGATATTCAACAAGAAAACAACGAGGGCCGGGACTCACGAATCAGTAATCTCGATATCTGTAATAGTAAAAACGTATAATAGCTGTAGTAAAACGTATTCTAGAGAATTTCACATGTAATATGTAGCTATTTCATATGCAAGCATGTCAGCCAATCACAGCAGTGGGCGGTTAAAATGCCTTTTATTTCTAAATTATGATTATTTTTGATCTAAAAAACATACTAACATTATAAGGGCAACCCAGGAAACATTATAAATTATACAAAAAAACCCATGTCAGGGGACCTTTAATCAGTAGGGAGTTGATTGGATTGTGAAGAGTTGGTGTTGCCAGAATGTAGTTTCAAATACAATGTTACACATATTTGGATTACAAATTCTCGAAATGTTAACTGGTTGTGGTTGAATTAAGCAAGCAGATTGATGAGGACGGTTATGTCACAATATTACTTTAATCTTCTTGCAAAACCCTTTTGTTTCACCTATTAAACAGGCAGTATTTTATTTCGAACATAGCCCATGTTCCTCATATACATCTGAGACTTGTGAGATCAACACGCTGCTGGTATTGCGTCTGGTTTTCTCATGTGATGCAACCATAAAAATGTTTGGGTACATTATGATTTACTGATGGTTACTGATTCTAGTAAACAGTTTTTTTCTTTTTATTATTTGATGATGAATTCATGTATCATCTGAACACAGTGGTACAAACAAACATATGTCATGTACATTAACAAATAAACCTTTTAAATGGCAAGTTTACCCAACGCCTCTACTCCACTCCATCCCTGATTCTCGAGAATGGCTCTCTGCACTTGCAGATAAATGGTTTATTATCAAATATATAGCCAAATGTGTCAGATCCTAACAAGCATTACCAGATTTCCCTAACAGTAACCAGCTGTACTTCTCCTGGTTTTCTTCAGAAGAATTAAAGGGGGCTTTTCCACAAGTGGCCCAAAACCACCAAAAACTATTGCCTCTCTGAAGTGCTACAGTACCTTCCAAAAGGAAGACGGATGCTTTTGCAAAGTGTTTTCCTGAAGGCTTTTTAATGCTCCCCTTTCCACATGTGAAGAATTTTTCACTAAATCCACTCGGAGCGGACCGGCTTCCATCCCTCTAGGAGTCTTTTGTCTATAAGAGCCATGTAGCATGACCGTAGACTCCTAAACACGAGGCCCGCGTTCATCATCGCGATAACGCGACACGTTAATCGCTGGGAGATTCGCTCCTCGTCTTTGCACCTCGTGCCCCGGGAAGACGTGATCATTCTCCAGGAAGGTTGTTCTGCTTTGCACATGTGTTCGAGAATTGTAGTTCCACTTCCTCTTTTCATTTAAATGTCTATTTCCGGTCTGTTAAAGCCAAAGCAGCATCAATCTCGTATAAGTATCTTTCCTTTCCGTCACTCGTTTTTTTTTTTTTTTTTTTACACAGGAACTGGACCGTTCTTTGAGTGTGTTTCAAGTGTTGTTAGGCTGCTCACGATCTTCTTCTGAGGTCCCACGATCGTCACACCGACTTTCTTGAAGTCCCTGTGTGTCAGAGCGGAGAGAGAGACAGTGAGTGTGGGTACTATAGCTCTCACGGTTTGACATATGTTGACATTAATGACAAGCCCGCAGCATCGCTCTGCCTCAGACTGCATATGTCAGTCATGCAGGACAAAGTATTCCAGGCGGACACCATGCATACAATAAGTCGAGGAGCTGCCCTCTGGATTCGTGACAGACTTTGTGTTATAACTTAAGAAAGGGCTGATTTACAGCTTCTCCAATGAGAAATTGGAGAAGCTGCTACATTTTCTGAGTTGGTTATTTCTACTGTAATTTGAAAGGAACAGCACTGTCAGGGTTACCCCCGAGGGGGAAAAAGAACGCCATTTTTCATTTAATGAGATCCATGCAACAGCTGACAGAAGCTTGCATTATTTACAATCGTGAATAGACTCTCCAGACTTACCATATGGATGAGTTCATCCCGTGCGCAAAATATCCTACCTGGTCTCGTAGGGAAAACGTGAATCTACATGAGGGCTTAAACAACGTAAGCCATGGTTGTTAACCAGCCCGTTCTCATCCCAAGACGTCATCTAACTGACCCTTTTGACCGTACGTCAATATCCGACGTTTTAGGGCACCCTTTAACGTCAGTTATATGACGCTATCTAATCCTAACCCTACCCCAGACCTAAACCTACGCATCATCTAACTGACGCTAAAGGTAAAGCATCAGTTAGATGACGCCCTAGGATCGTCATTTAACTGACGTTAAAAAACTTCGGATGTTGACGTATGGTCAAAAGCGTCAGTCAGATGACGTCTTGGTATGAGAATGTGTTGTGTTTACAGGTGAAATGTCCAGAAGTGGCAATAAAAGAGCGATTTACCCTCACCATTACACAGGTACCATAACACACACCACCGCCTACTTGAGCGTCAAAGAAGCTCTGGCCGCCCTTTCAAGGACGCTCGTCAAAAAGTACGGGGAAGCTTGTTGACGCTTTGACATTACAGGGAGAATAGAAGTGTCACAACATGAAATGTAATAAACAGAAAAAAAAAAAACAAGCAATCCATTGAGAAAAACTTTTTTGGTCACATTTGGTCGGGAAAAAAATAATAGTTAGCTATTATTATTTGCGGTCAAATCAGTGTCACCGTGAGCAAATGAATTGCATTCCCGCTTTAAAACGAGCATTCGTAAATATTTCTAATAAAAGTTGTGCTCATGCGGTCCCTATAAGCAAACAACGTCATGTCATAAATGATAAAAAACCTGTAGGAAACTCAGAAATGGTGATTATTAGCTTCTCTTCCATTTCCTTGGAACTAATTTATTGGTTGGAACGAAAGTTTACATTGTATGTTTCTCCGGAATCAGCCAGCGCGAAGGACGTCTATATTCTGGTTGGTTGCTATAACTTTCTGATTGACGCTCAAAATGGCCAATGAATGGCTCTGTGTCATGAGTTCATGGGTTTGATTCCTGCTTATGAGTTCATGGGTTTGATTCTCAGGAAATGGACAGAATATCCCATGTGCGCTATTACTGTTTTAAATGCATCAAAAAATGCAGTGGTCTATTCTCAGGTTGAACTTTGGGTAGGCCTTTATAATTACATTTAATTAAAACATTTATTCATGTAGTTGCTACTAACTGATTTAAAGTCACTAGAACATATTTGGTGATATGCTTGTTAACATTAACAATAACATCGATATGTAATTCCACTCAATGGACATTTCACCTCTGGAAACTGCAGCTATTTGTAGAGCGTATTTCAGGTTTTTCAAGTCACGTTTTCCCATTAGATCAGATTGCACTGCAAAAATGTGACAAACCAATCAATTTCATGAGATCAAGTACAGGACCTTTTGCAAAAGAACAAACGGTAACACTTTCTATGAAGACCATGCTTATAAAGAATTATATCTCCATTTATACTTATTTATAAGTAAGTATTACTATTTTATTAATATATTTATAAAGACTCATCAAGACTGCGTTATAAGACTAGTTACATTTATATTATTTTTTATAATTACTTATAAGTCATGCATTTGCTTTTTCAATGCTCATGTTCATAATCCATTATACACTGATTTATAAGAATTAATTAGTCAGCCGTATGGTTCCATGAATGTATTTATAAAGATGCAGCCTGCATTGCTATAATGTTATAACATTAGCTACTATGACTTTTTAGTAATTCAGATTTATTTCAGTCAAGTAAGTGAATATATTGTTATTATTGCCGTGTTGTGTTCTTATAAATATTTATTGTGAGTGATAATACAGTTACTAACCTCTAAACTAATAAATACATTATTGATGGATTTAAGTAAAGTGAAAACAGAATGTACTTTATCTACAGCAAATGTTAAGAAATCATGAAGAAGTGCTCATTATAGAGTTTAAGTTTTTTTTACTTGTAAATGTAACTAATGGACAATAATTAATATAATAAAATAATGAAGAAAAGAACAAAATGATTAATACAAACATTTGATTTTTAATGTAACATACTCGCAAAACAATTCAACAATATTTTTTTAAGTATAATTCCAAATTGCTATAACGAATACCATGCTGAGGAGATAACGATTTAAACAAATCAAATTATCATTCATGACCTAATACAAACATTAAATACATAATTGATAGCTAATCGGTACAGCAAACAAGTGTCTCTGGAACTATTTTATATTTGATCATTTATAACCCGGCGTTTAACGGATTATGAGCATGCACATTGAAAATGCAAAAGCATGACTTTTAAGTAGTTATTCAAATTATATAAATGTAACTATAACTGTTCTTATAAAGCAGTATAGGTCTTAATGAATCTTTAAAAATATATTTATAGAATAGTAATACTTAAGTATAAATGAGGCTATAATTCATTATAAACATGGACTTCATAGAAAGTGTTACCGAACAGACATTCAATTCTTAGTATTGTCAGATCAGGGGATGCAAAAGCTGTGCAGTAAACATCATTACAGCATATTAGTGCAAGCGAGTTTATGTCACGACCTAGGTTAGGCTATGCACACCAAGTTCTGTTAGAAACACTTCTAGAAAGTGCAGCAGCGATTTAGTCCCGAAGTGGACATTAGTGCAAACAAAAGCTTTAGGGAGCAGCCAGCAATAGAAAAGCTATGACCAAAACCCACCATCCAGTCTATAAGCTTTAAAGTGTTGTAATTCCCATGGACGGCTCCCACTCAGGGCACGTGGCTGCTGGTCTGACTTCAGTCAGACAGATTCTATGGGCAAAATAAAGCTTTAGATCGGCTGTTTATCGTCAAGGTACTGCTAATGCACTGACATCAGCCAGACAAATGCTCACAATGTCAGTCAAGACAGGCCTGCAACATTTCTTTCAGACAAAACTTTAACTAATTTAGTAATTCTTTGGGCAGGCATGTCATGCAGCACAAATTAAAATCAAGGAAAAAAAACAGCCGAATTCAAGGAGTTTCTGCTATACCATTATAACAGCTGTAAAACATCTCTAGGCCTACTGCTGGAGGAATCAGACATAAGTTTGATCAAATCATCCTGGTTTTAAAACATCCCTTACAAAAAAGAAGTATACTGTAAGTAAAGTAAACTTTTAAAGTAATTTTCAAGTATACTTTATCAATGCAAAATCAATGCGCTTGTAGTATATTTGTAAGTGTTGAGCTGCACGTATCCAACATCATTTTTACACACAATGTTTTTTTTAACTGTTTTTTTTTATGTTCACATGTTTCACAGGAATCCTTGCCTATATGTGCATTTTAATATAATTGTGTGTGAATTCATCCATCCAAGTGCAAGAAAACATGAAAGACAACATGTAACTTGAACATTCGATTTATTTTTAATTCAAATGCCGCATGTGTGCTGAGTATGCAACTATACTGTGAACTATATTCGTTGAACTTTGAAGCGACTCTTAGTAAACTACTAGTTTAATATCAGTTTGTAAACACACCTTTGAAACACTGTCAATAAAATTAGCCAAATGTTGATCTGTTTCTGTGAGTTAATGGCACCGTGTACAAAAAAGATTAAATTCAGTTCCACCCCTTTTACTACTCTAACCACCCAAAGCTGATTTGTAACTAAACTTGATCATACAAGAATATCAGATAGTACTGTGTGTAACATATGGTGGAGTACTACCTAAAAGAAGCCAATGTGTGTGAAAAAAAGTATTTTATAGACCACTGTAAACATATTTAGAATACTAAATTGTAATTCACTTAAGTATATGTCGATCAAAAGATTAAGTATAGACCAAATCCAAGTATATAGGCCAAACTTTTTTTGTGTACTTGTAAGCCAAGTTTACTCAAGTATAGTTTTTCTTTTGAAGTAGGCTTCATCTCTCTGATAAGTTTATAAAAAGCAAACAGAAAGTATCCTCTATATATATATATATATATATATATATATATATATATATATAAACCTAATAGCACACTTGTCCTTCTGTAGAACTTTCTTTTAAATTACAATTTACAACATATTTAGTGCAATATGAAAAAAGTGTTACCATTAACTATATTTTTAAAAACCAAAACACAAGAAGGTATAACCATTGAATGCTGCCAGCCATATACATTCATATTTGTCTAGTCTAATGTGACTTGAGCTAAATAAGGTAAAACTTTCAATGATAGATTAAAAAGCATAACGTTCTGTTCAATTCAACATAAAATTGCAAAAAGAGACCAAACATCTGGTAAACTAACTATGGCTATATCAACAAGAAAACACAGAGATGCACAACCAAGGTAACGTAATATGTGAATAAATCATCAATAATTATATCTCTCATGTGATTCTTCGTGTTCCCTGATAGACCCTTTACACTGCAACTTCAGTTTTTAGGCCTTATTGAGTTTGAACAAATTTTTGAAGCAATTTTTTGGGGGGATGAAAACGCTGATCTTTAAGACAAAAGATTCGTCTAACACTCTCAAATTGGTGTAGTCCTTAGTACTTGTGTACTTGTTAGTGTTGATTTGTATGGTTAGTACTGATGGGTGGTGGTTAATGCTGGTGTGACTTGGTCGCTGGATTATGTTGTTGGATGCAAATTTGATGCTGATGGTTCATGCGGTCTAATACTAATTACACTTTATTTTGATAGTCCACTTTAGACATTTGACTAGCTAAAAGTAATTTTGGAACTACATATAATTTGAAACCATATATCAACTAACTCTCATTCGAGTATTACTGTTAAGTTACAAGGGTTTGTATGTGTATATATATACATATAAGCTACTAATCAGTAGAATGTTAGTTATGGGACCAGGAAAATAAAGTGTTAGAAGAAATTAAGCAGACAGTCTATAAAAAAAAAAAAAAAAAAAAAAAAAAAAAGAGAGAGAGAGAGATTACCCAATTTGGTGCAGCTGTTAGCCAGATTAGTATTGGTTTATTATGGTGTAGTTTAGCAGTTGTACTGGTTTGTGCTGCTTAGTGATGGTTGCTGATTATTAGCAAAACTTAGTGAAGCTGATTGATCTTGCATGGTCTCACTGATGAAGATGATTTGGGGAAGATTAGTGTAGTCGACTGTGGTTAAATAGAATCCAGAACATATAATGGTGATCCTGGTCTTTTCTGCAGTTCAGAAATTTGAATGAGCAATTTACTTTAAAATACAGAAAAATGATAACACACACGATTCTGTGGTCAGACCAAAGAGTGGTGGTGTTCACTCACTTCAGAAGGCCAAACAAACTGCATGTTAAATAACCCAATCTGGGTCATGGATGAGGGCCGCTATTTTGCATGTGATTATTTACGCTGACATCTGAACAAAATATAAAGACAAGCAAACAATTACAGACTGCTCAGTGTTTAGATGTTTGGTCCTGAGGGTACACCGTGCAGCACAGCACTGCCACTGTTCCAAGACCGAGTCTTTGATCATTTTGAAGTTATGAATGTCAAATTATTTACATTGTCAAATGCCTCGTCATTTGAATTGAAATGTGGTCTCAGGAGATGCTAACCAGGCCAGGGCATTCAACATTCAACATCTACAAAGCATTTCTCATAAAGCCTCAGATCCACATCATGGATCCACACAGGCTCTTTTATTATTAGAACTTTGTTTTGACTCAGCTGAGATTGTCCAATATGACGTTTATGGGAGGATAGCAGTCATTGTCATAGAAGAAAACATTAAAAAGCACTGTCATTTGAGATTAATAACAAATGTTATTGGCACCATTAAACGATTAAAGCTGGGCTTCATTTACTGGAAACTGATCTGTAAATAAATTTGGCATCATCTTCGACAACGGTTTTAGGCTATTTTACACTATTAATCTTAAATTATATCTCTTGTCTGTTGCATTGGACTAAAAAAAAAACAGGATGCATCGTAAAAACTCGGCTAATGAATATAAAAGAAGGACTATAAACACTACCAGTAAAAAGTTTCTGATTGGTAAGATTTTTATTGTTTTAGTCTCTTATGCTCAAGTAAAAGCAATGTGAAATGTTATTACAATTAAAAATATATATATGTATTTAAATATATTTTAAAATGTAATATTCCAGTGATTTGGTGTACAAGAAACATATCTTTGTCAAAAAGTCAATTTTGAAAAGTTATTGCACTTATTATTTTTATGGAAAAGTGGACACTTTATGGATATACTGCAATTCAAAAGGTTGGGGTAAGTTTCGACATTCATAATAGCAATAACTATTAATAATTGAGTACCAATAATAATTAAATCCAATTTAACCAAATCAGCATATTAGAATGATTTCTAAAGGATCATGTAACACTGAAGACTGGAACTTTGCAATCACAATTACATTTTATGTAAATTTGAAAATATATTAAAATTTAAAGCAGTTGTTTTAAATCATTGGTAATAATATTTCACAATATTACAGTTTATAATATTTTCCTTTATAACTGTAACGCTGCTTTGAAACAATCCACTGTTAAAAGCACTTTATAAACGAAGGTGACTTGACTTTTTACTTTATTTATAATCAAATAAATGCAGCCTTATTGAGCATAACTTCAGACTCCTTTCAAAAATCGTAATCAGTCCAAACTTTTGACTGGCAGCGCATATTTTAGTTTTATAACACAAAAAAACCTGAAAGGCTCTTACTCTGCTGAGGTTTTGGCCAGTGTATCACAGGAGCTGTAGCTGACACCAGTGAACGCATCTTTACAGGGCAACGTCCTTGCACTCTCCAGCCAATCACCCATCGTGTGAAAGGAAGTGATGTCAGTGCTGGTTCTGTCCAGAAGCAGATTAACCGGTCTGGGAAGAGACGAAAAACAGAGCAAGTACTGTTAGTTGTATTGTAAATTGTTTAAGATTAATCATGTAATTTCTGCACCAGTGGCATCAATAAATGGTATTGGAAAGTATTTGGCTGAGCAGCCCGAAAGAAATGATAAACTTCACCCTTATGAAGCGCACATTTGCAGAGCTGATGCACAACAGCTTTTTATGAGAACACACCCCACGACTGTTCCTCTAACTTGCTGACTCAGAAAAAAAATTCAGCACTGAAGTTGTGGTCGTCTGCAATTCCCATCACGTTTGACAAATGTCATTTATGGAGAAAACAAGCTTATAAAAGTGCAAGCACAGGGTAAACACAAAGGCCTTCAAATCCGATATGCAAGCTTTGCCTTCAAGGTCTTCATAAGGAAATACCTGCAGAGAAGCGGGACTGATTCTCTCCATCTGTGTTATGGCAAGCATTCCCCAGGAAGAAACCAATACATTTAGGAATGTTTATTCGAATACACAGACATCTCTGTTTCTGATGACTTCCCATTATTCGCATACCTATGTTTGTTTCCATTGTTGATTGGGTAAAAGGCTAACTCATTAACCAAAACCTTTATAAGCCTACACGAAAATATTTATTATTGCAGTATAATTATCTTCTCAAACAAACACAATACTTTTAGAGTTATTAGCATGTACGGTAATCCTTTTATGGGCAAATACTGTGTGGACATTTTATAATGTAACCAGACAACATTATGAAAACAATTCCTGATCACGTTGGGAAAGTGATTAAAAAATAAGAATAAGAAAAAATAAATAAATAAGAAATGCTCTTGTCTTTGTTAATTCAGGTGAAACTCTCAAAATGTATGTGATGTCAAAGCATCTGAAATCCACAATTCAAGGCCAAGAGCACCTGATCAGAACCAGGGGAACAGACGGAAAGGAGACCACAATCCCTGTGGGAACTGCAGTTTACAGTCATGCAAATAAACAAATTAGAATACCAGGAACTCCACTCAGATCCATATGTTCCCAGTGTTCCATTACTGTGTGATGAAAATAAAAGAATAATGTACGCTGAGTTGACTAGAAAAGAATGCTGAATGGATCCAAGTAACTTGGCAAAGGGGATCAGTAAGTGCTGACACAGCTCATTGAATCGAGCTGTCTGCAAGACTGCACTGATGTGCACAGGATCTTCAGAAACCATTTCCTAATGTCGGGAAAGAGTGGATAAAGTTTATTTTTAACAATGTCTGATTTTAGTCTGACCGTCACAGTTTGGGAAGTACATATATGTGCTGATTGTTTTATGAACCTGCGATGGAACTTTATAAAAAGGCTGTTATTTAAAGGATGGGACGGCAAAGATTACTTTGGACTCAACATCAAACACAACAGTACTGTATCTAATTTCACAAGCAAAGGGTGTTTTTGACATTTTGTCTTGGGCTGCATTAACACTGCAGGTTTTGATGGCCAATTAAGATTTGTTGAATATATCAGATTTTTTTAAAGTGAGAGAAAGTTTAAAGTAAACAGTGTTTCCTCTACCTTCATTCTCCCGTGGCGGGCCGCCACACTTAAAATCCTCCCGCCACGGTTGCAGCTTCTCAGTGACGTCCGATATTCTGCATAGTATTATGTTATTTTGTTAAGCCCCACTAAAGGCATAAAAAACTTTGTAAAGCACAATCAAGTTTTCACCGTATATTCCAAGACTTCTAAAGTCATTGTATAATGTGTAATTTTAGTCGCTAAGTTAAAGTTAACGGAAAGTCATCTCGCCTCAGTCATTCTTCATTCAGAATTCAGCGCGTCGCGTTCGTTTGCGACACGACGACACTCTCTTCAAGGTCAATATTCCCATTATTATACTTTATTTGTAGATAAAGCATAAAGTAGATGGTTTTCATAAAATGACTTTATCTTGCTGGAGTGGAGTTTATTGCCCTTTCACATTCCCTTCTCCCGGGTGTATGTGAGATTACAGCATAGAGTCGAGAGAGTGCTATTGTTCTTCATGCGCACTGAAATTTAAAACTGTTAAAAGAAAAGGCTCAAAAAACTGTTGCATATAGAATACACTAAGCATTAGTGCTGCACGATTAATCAAATCGCAATCGTAATAGCGATCTCAAACCTATGCAATTATATAACGCAAAATGCCGCGATTTTATATGAAATAAACAAATTAGGGCTATTAACGCAGCATCTCTTCATTTTTGTCATCCTTTGACTAGTGTTACACGATCCCGCTCTTATTCGTGCAAATGCCTTTTCGCATTTTGCACGACAAGAAGTGAAAAGCTGCCTGTGAATGCCCTAAATGAGACTCGCAGAAAGACGCGCGCCATAATGCGCATGCACTGACGCGTGCCAGAATACAGTTCTCTTTCGAGCTTGAACGAACAATAACACACACAATTATGCCAAAATGTCGTTTTGTCGAGTATCTTCATAACGTAAGAAAAGTCTTATGGACGAAAAGAGTTGTGCTATGAGGCGCATGTGAGATCCGCGTCTCGGCAACGGGTGCTCTTAAAGGGCCAGCAGCGAATAAAGCGTTCTGTCAGTAAAGTTAAAAGAACAAAGGGAAATTAGAAAATTACTCACTGATCTTGACTAAAGAACTTTTGTAGCTTTAATAAGGATTATTCTATATATAATTTATAATTCATGCAGCGCAGACTGTTTGATAACTTTATTCAATTTCTGTATCCTACCTGTTAAGACAGGAAGGGCACAGGTAAATATGGTTTTTATTATGGGTTTATGTGGGGATTGTTTGAAGTTCACTTAATTTAAAAGTTGTTAAAAAATTTTTTTAGCCTAATAATTTTTTTAAAAAAGTTGATAGCTTTCACTGTAATGATGGTTTGGTTGGTTTATTGATCATTATAGGTGTTATCAATCATTTAGTTGTTGTTTTTAGTTTGAGTTGAGAAATAAACATTAATACACAGAATGATCACTAATCTGTGTGTGCATTTTACTTTAGAACCAAGCAAGTTGGACTCATGAAAGCATTTTATTATATCGGAATCGCATATCACAATTGCAATATTGACCTCAGTAATGGCAATATGACATTTTCCCCAAATCGTCCAGCCCTACTAAGCATATTATAGATCTAATCCCTTCGCTATGTTCTTTTCAATGTGAAGCGTTGCGTGCTGTGACTTGGTGTTGCTTCAAGTGCATCATTCTGCACACGGGATGCGCATGATCGATTATAATAGAGACAAGGGGGCGTGGCCCGCCGGGGGAAATGGGCCTGCCCCCACAGCTTGGAAAAATCCTAGAGGAAACACTGGTAAAGTTAGAATAAGACTAGTTGCAATGTTTCTTAAAGTGAATACAGTAGAATGTCTCTTGGTGGAGCATCAAAATAACGTGTTAGCAGATATTAAGCAGATAGTCTACTAATTCTCTAATGATTGCTAGTTGATTGGTGGTCAGTTTAAAACTAAGGGTCAGAGAAAACAAAATGATGATTTATATTATAGCACACGTTTAAATTTAAAATAAAAAAGCAAAGTAAATAAATAAATCATCATTTTTTTGCCGGACGAACCCTCTGGTCAATGGAGTCTTATTATAATAAAGAGAGGAAAACGAGTCTTCTATCTTTTTTAGGCTAAACACCCTTTAGTGAATAGATATTTAAAATGGTAAATTGGATAAATAAATATTTATAATATAAAACTCTAGGTCTGTACTTCCACCTAGGTCACGCATGACCTTTCAACGTGATGACGTAATGTGTGGCACACTTCGCAGAGTTAGTGCAGGATGAGCATTTGTGGTTAAAAATTGTACACATTTTTATTTATTTTAGAAAATGACCCAACATTTCACTAGATAAAATCATAATTTCTTAAAAAACTTAATTTCTTTATGACTGAAGAGACTTAATTAATATTAATTTCTTGGATGACGTGGGGGTGAGTAAATTATCAGAAAAAAATCCACGTGAAGTGAGCTAATCCTTTACTGTGTGTTCACACCAGACGCGAATAGCGCGTCAAATTCCGCCAACACTTTGAATCCATTTGCGCATCAAGAGCGAAATTGACGCATGTAAAACAAAAGTTTGAAGCGGAATTTACGCGCGTCACACTCTGTATTTGCTCTGGAGAGCAGAACAGCGGCGTGGGGATCATCATATTACAAAATAATTTATTGAAGCATCCAGATACTTCACCACGTTAGCAAGCAGCTAGGCTCCTGATTGGTTAACCCGGCGTGAATTGACGCCAAAAGTTCAGATTCAGGCGGCAGGTGCGAATTCGCATCAAACGCATAAATGCACAAATAGCACTAACTAAATCAATCGCGGTTAATGCGGCAGACGCTCAGTTCGCTTGAACGAGGCGTATTCGCGTCTACCGCGGCACGCTCTACGCCTCACTCACGCCGCAGGATTTTTTTACGCATGTAACGTGTCTTTGCATTGACTTAACATTAAAATCACTCACGCCTGACGCGCTATTCGCGTCCTGTGTGAACGCACCATTACATTAGTATGATAAATAATTTGTACATCTTATTTATAATGGCCATCATGGTGGAAGAAAGTAGAGATCTGACAATATAATCTAGAGGAAAAAAAATGATTTAAATCTCTAAAGGACCATACTGATAACCAAGAGATGTCCAGTCCTCTGTTGTTTGTTTGTGATGTTTAGCTACATTCTCACTAAAACCCACAAGGTGAAAAAGAAAGAAGCAGTTGACGAGGAGAAAAGTCTTTGTTGTTGGGTATAGAAGTGATAGCTCAAACTCTGGCTTAAACCCACTGCATTTGGACGCATCAGGTGCTGGCGTCAGAGATCTGAGCCGTCACTCGACAGGAGCACAACAGGCCAGAGGGTGGGGAAAAAGAGAGGTAAACACTCGGCCTCTCTTTTCTTTTGCTTTCCTCTCTCCCCTCTGGTGTAGTGACCTCTAAATAACCGAGGATGCTTAGTATCATGTTTTTAAAGTTCTCTGGGGATAGGAAAGGGAGGAGGATGTTCCTCACAGAGAAACATCTGGGTAGCTTCGTCACGGACAAAAATGAATCTCTTGCTGTGAGGAGGCTCTGAGATTGTGCACCTACTCTTGTCCTAAGAGTGCCAACATTTTACTTCCGAGCATCTGCACGCCATCTTTCCAGCTTAAAGTGGTCTGGCCTTAATGTCTAAGGTCCATCCATGAGAATAGCAGGAGTGCCGCCCCATTAGCATGCAGGGCATGTGGATAAATGAGGTGCAAGGGCTTGGACGCAGCTGTGGCTTCAGACCGGCGGCAGAGGAACCTCAGAGTGTGTCTCGCTCAGAGAGTCATAAATCACCTGGGCCCAATGTTGGTCCCCCAAACGGCCATGTTAAAAGCCAATCAGGAAAATTACATGCAAACTCCCTGGGACCCATTTTCACTTTCTTAAGAAACCATTAGTCACTGTTACATACTTCATAATATTAAAGCTCCTGGTTATAGCACTTACGTCCACACTCGTGCTGGACGAACCCTCTGGTCAATGGAGTCTTATTGTAATAAAGAGAGGAAAACTAGAGTCTTCTACTTTTTTAGGTTAAAGACTTTTTAGTGAATAGATATTTAAAATGGATTAAAACTATGGCTATATAAAAGTTTAAGTTTGGCATATAAATACACATATTTAATATAGTATAATCATATTTAAATTTTTTATAACAATTTTTTTCATCTAAAAAAATTATTTGTAAAATATATGTGTGTGTGTTCTAATTTTTAGATTACCATTTTTTACATTTTGATTTCTAATCAATATTTAAAACTAATAATTTGATAACACTGATTTTATAACAAAGTAGGCTAATCTTTAGCAAATCTCAAAATATTTTCATTTAACAAACTATACATTATAATTTTGTGATGCCTAACTTTTTTTAAACTATTAGTGTTAGCTTTTAATATTTTACACAATTTTTTATACACTAATATTTACAGGCCATGAAACATGAAAATAAATTAGCAGCAATATTTTAATTTCAATTCTGGACTTTGTGAAGGATAATCACGTTTTTCCACACCAGAAAGCGTCAAATCATTACAAAATAGATCTCACCAAGGGTATTGTCATGCTGGAAGAGAAAAATAATCTTTCCCAAACTATTATCACAAAGACAAATCTAGAATGTCATGTGCAACCAATCAGGGGCTCTTACCAAACCCATTACCCAGAAGTCTACTGTATATACTTTTAGCCATGTTGTGTTTAATACTTTAAATAACATTATACTGGAGAAACAGGATGTCAGCAAATGTTTATCACAAACACTGCCTGTCTGAGGACTGTTTCTGCAAACTGGCTCCATAAATAAACTGATTTTGTCTAGAAAAATAATCTGTAGAAAATATTGAGGTTGTATCTTAATCATAACTGTAAGTGACCAGCTGTGTGTGAAAATTCTAGACCTGAGGGGAAGACACGAATTAGAGTTCAAGAGGAAGAGAGAAACATTTCCTCACATTAGGGATCATGAGAAGTTGATCTGAGCGTGACAAAGCAGAAGAAAGAGCAATAGATCAGAACAAGCATCTAGAACTCGGTCTAAAAGCAGTCCTCTTAGGTACGAGAACAGCGACGTACCTGGACGCAGTGCTGGCCGTGATTTTAAGACTGCTGGGGTTGCGGATGAGCTTATCCAGGATGCTGACGATCTGTTCAAATTTGGGCCGGTTGTTTCGGTCCTTCTGCCAGCAGTCCAGCATCAGCTGGTAAAGGGTAGCAGGGCATTCCATGGGCGGGGGAAGACGATAGCCCTCATCCACCGCTTTTATCACCTGAGGCACACACGAAAACATCGTCAAGCTGAAGCTCATTTTGTCTGAAGCTGTGGTCCAACCCGATCTCACGACCAAGTCGTACGAATTCGACGAATGATTAAAAAGTGGCTAATTCGTAACAATTCATATGACCTCACTCGTACGAATTAATACAATTTAGCTAAATCGTACATATTTTACGAATTGGCCAATTCGTATGAATTCGTACGAATGACCAACCCCTTACCCCGCCCCAAACCTAACCATCTCGTGGGTTTAGACAAATCGTACGAATTAGTATGAGTGAGGTCGTACGAATTAGACACTTTTTAATCATGCGTCAAATTCGTACGAATTGGTCGTGAGATAGTGTTGTGTGGTCACATTAGCAAAATGTTGGTGAAATTTTGTCAACTTTGAGATTTGTCTATTGCCAATAGTATATCGATGTATGATATACTATTGCTCACACAGAAGTTACTTTTGGTTGGTCAAAGTGACACATCTGACCCCATTGCAAAATCTCCATGGGGAAATCTTCTGCCCTCATGTGAAATTCCTGTTTTCATGAATTCCAATTAAAAATGATTGGATTTCACCCATGAAAATTTGCCGTACATTGGTAAATGTGACCGTACCTTAACATCTCCTCACTCCTATCGAAAAGCACATACAGCGGGTGAGTAAATGATGTCAAAATTTCCATTTTTTGGGGAACTATTTCCTTCAAAAGATGAGGTACTGTAATTTGCTGAACTATTTTCTTCAATTTCCTGTCTTTTGAGCACCTAAGTCAGGACATATTTATTCCTCTTCCCGCCTGTCACAATCCAGTACGATAAAACAAAAACAAAGCATATCCGTCCATGCAACAACACAAAATCAGCAGCCCCAGAACTGTGACTCCCTTTTGCTTTTCATCACTTTATCATCGGAACTGCCACAATCCAGTTCAAATAAACTCTCAGGGTCTTATTTGCTCAGGGTGAAGTTACTGAACTGCTACAATTAGGCCACTGCGCAGGGTCAGTGCTAAAGAACTAATAACATTATCAACACAACACGATTGCATAACAGACTACTACACATTAACCACAATTCCACACATGACTCTTGTTCTAAACTCTCTGTAAAACCTATAGCATTTCTCTCGTTTTCACCATTGGCTGCTTAATGTGTGTTTGGTTTTATGTCCTTGTGAAGCTGAGTTTTCCTCTTTTTTTTTTTTTTACTTAATAAGAGCAGTTTAGAACAGCATGAATGGTCTAGCCATGCTGTTAAACAGCAAAAGTAGCTTGGTTGCTGGTTGATCAAGGACAATCTTGCTGGTTTAATTATATTTTTCACCCAGTAAGGAAAATTTTGTCATTATTTACTCACCCCCAACTCAATAATATCAAACGCTTAATGGCTGTTCACACAGAGCACGTTTTTTTGCAGTCTATTTCACAGTTTTTCTGTAAACATTCCCTAAATCAGGGGTTCCCAAGTTTTTTTTGTTTTTTTTTTTGTCAGCCGCACTTCTTAGATGTAAAATCATCGGGACTAATGGCCAGGGGTTTTTGGCACGCCGAATACCTTGGTCCAAAGTGGGCCAACTGGGGCTTGAGGAGTGGTCATGAAGTCTTTACCTGAAAAGACCCATACATTTATATGATTTATAGCACTTTCATGATTTATTTCCACACAGAATCTATTACTCCATTTTAATGTTCAATAAAAACATATTCTTTCTGCAAGAGTCGTGAAAAGCTAATTTTTCTTTGCCCCGTTGTACCTGAGGACCCCTTAAGTTAATATATCCATGTTCTGTGTGAATAGCCTCTTATTCTGTATTTTTTTTGTGTAAGACTCTTTAAATCAAATAAAACATTGAACATATGCCACACTGATCTACTTTGGCATGAAAGACATTGGATTGCTTTGTTGACAGCTGCTCTACTCACGTCCTGATTGGACATCTCCCAATAAGGTCTTTCTCCATAAGACATGACCTCCCATAGGACAATCCCATAGCTCCATACGTCACTGGCCGAGGTAAACTTACGATAGGCGATGGCCTCTGGTGCGGTCCATCGGATTGGAATCTTGCCACCCTATGAACAGACAAAATCCATCTGTCAAGAAAATGTCATCTGCCATCTGTGACAATATCCAAACACATATTTTAGAATAACAAGCATGTACTCTAACGTTCATATGCCAAATCATGTAATCTGTATGCATCTGTGTTTAAAACAGCACATATGTAAAGTGTCAGAGCTGGTAGAAAGGGGATTTTTGAGAGTTCCATGCATCTAATAGCCTGGGAAAACCCAAACAACTTCCGGCAAATTTAGATTTGCTCTGAAAGTTAGTCTGGCAAAGTGCTCATTCAAGCCCATTTCCAATCCGTCGAAATCGAGGCACCAATCAGAAACACTGGGTCGGGCTTTACACGATTAAAAACTGAGCAAAAAACAACACACGGAGATGTTTCTCCACCGCTCTGCATACGTCATCTTCTTCATCGCTCTGATTGGTTTTAGGTCTATCCGCGACGTCCGTTGGTGACGCGCCTCTGGAAATGATTTTTCTATGACGCTTTGCCAGACTATAACTCAGTTACAACTGAGAATGATCTAGTTTTCACCAGGCTATGCATCTAATGAATGAGCATTTGAAATAAGCTCTAAGGTACTATTAAGATTTGATCGTGTTTGAAATGGGATTGACTGTACAACATGCGTAGCGCTTCAAAGTATACTCAAGTTGAAATCGCTACATGAACGCAGGAGGTCGATACATGTGCTCTAGAAAGTTCTTTTTCTAGTGTATTTTTTTCTCCAGAATATATGACCAAATAAAAATGGCTTTGTATTCTCATAACCCCCTCACAAAAGTGCTTGTCAATGCATGCTTTGTTGGTGTTGTTGTTCCATCTCTTTAGTTTAGTTTTTCTACTGTGAAACAACAGCCAGGACCAGTGTTGCAACTGATTAGAGCAAAACAATTCAATGCGCACGTGCAAAGTACACAAGGTTACAAAAATTGGGCCACATGCTTACTATTCTGGTGGCAAAATGTTTGTATGCATGTAAATATAGGTCATGATTTTCTCTATTAAATCACTGTGCAGCAAAACACTGTCTACTCTAAATGACGTAAAAAATGACAATGCATACCATTTGACTGCAATGCTGTGGATGAATGAAATTTAAGCTACCCGGCCAGAGCAAAGAAAAAAAGTGATCTCTTTCACATCATAAATGATTTTGCTAGACATAAATGAGGAAACATTAGCATCAAGAGTCCTGCTTTTTTTCTTGAGACCGAAAATTCGAACTCTCTCACAATGGTCTCCTTTAAAGTTTTAGCAGAGATCTCATCATCATCATCTTAGCTGGAGACTCTGGATCGCCCACATTTGTCTCCTCAAAATATTCACAAGGGCACACTTACATTTAATTAAGTTGAGTAAAGGATATGTGTATTTGGGAGAGCCGGAGCTCAGAAACTGGCCCAAACCCAGAGTACTCCCCCATCCCAGGTTTGGGATACACTCTCAGAAAAAAAGGTACAAAAGTTGTCACTGGGGCTGTACCTTTTCAAAAGGTACACTTTTGTACATATTAGCATCTGAAATGTACATATTAGCACCTGAAATGTACATATTAGCACCCGAAATGGACATATTAGAACCTAAAATGTACACCACCTAAAATGGACATATGATCACCTAAAATGTACATATTGGCACCTAAAATGTACATATTAACATGTACTTATTAGCACCTAAAATTTACATATTACAACCTAAAATGGACATATTAGCTCCTGAAATGGACATATGAGCAACTAAAATGTATTGGCACCTAAAATGTACATATTACCACCTAATGGGGATGCTGAAAACTGTCATAGAACAGTAGTAAAAACTGCTGTATACCTCTTGATGTTAAGTACCTCTTGCACATAACCCATATCAGACAGTTACTTGCTGTTTCTTCGTGATCGTGAAAATTGTTTCTACACCTTTTTTTTCAGTGAACTGTTCTATCTTTGCCCATGGTTTGTGGTAGACCACCACCTTCATCGATCCTGTCTTCAGCTCTGAACGCTGGCTGGGCTTTTTTCATGTGCTCAGGTCCACTTTCTCTGAGGACCTGCTTTGTATTTTTCCAGCTCGGCTGCTGGGGTAACTCTACACTCAACCTTCATGAAGGAGGTAGACTGAGAGAGAACAGGGTAGAGCCAAAGCCAACCAGAAACCTGGCCAAGTCACACAATTCCTACCCCACATTCTCCAAACACAAGGCCTTTAAAAAATAAACCCACTTGTGCACAGGCCACCCCATTGAGTGCGTACAAACAGTCCCTGCAAGATCACAGCTAATGAATGTAAAATGTGACACAATGTATCCTTTTGGTTTAATAAAAGTAGAAAGTGAAAGTTTCCAGCATTCTTGTGGGTTTGAGGTTCTCATAGCCGCACAATGATTCAGTAGGGGGTCTAGTTGTAACGGTGAAAAGATACATTTACATTGGCTGTCTGACTAACACAAGTACAACCCAAGCAATTTGGGTTTATCTAACTAACAACATGTTGGACATCCCCTCCCCAGCATATGCTATATATCAGTGTAACACTTATGTTAGGTGACACTTGTATTGGTAATTTAAGCAGCAATATCTCTTTAAGCCTCACATGCTGTAGATTTATGCCCGACTCTAAGTGTATGTATGCATTAGTTATCTCTTCTGATGATGAATGCTGCTCTTAAGGATGAGAGTGACAAATATGGTTATTAATCCCAGGGAATAATGTTCAGACATGCTGGCTGAGAGGAGACATTGAGCTACGTTGGTCAACCATGGCCTGGCCCACACAGAATGTGCTCTGCAGAATTGGGATGCCCATAATTTACATAAAGTTCTACACATGCCTTGTTCCTCATGGTAATGCTTTTCAGCCACAAAAAGAGTGCATTTCTCTCAACTCTGTTTAACACATTTTACTTTGTTTAAAATCGTTCCACATATTCAGAGTAGATTCTGTCTGGGTCTAATCACGGCTGAGAGAAGATTGGGTTAGGGCTTGCTAATAAAGCACTTAAAAACACTCCTTTCCCAAATCTACTGTAACATCCATCCATCCACCCATCCTCTCTCACTTTTGAAAGGCAGTGTACGCTTTATAGAGCATCTCTCAATCCTCTCAGATCAATTTGAAATCACTGTGATACTGTGTGTGTTTGAGTGTGAGAGAAAGCAGGAGAAAGAGGGAATGTTTTGTACATAACAAAACTACATTTTGTGGCAAAAAGTAAAAACACGGAATAAATTTGTGGTTTTCATCCTATTTAGTTATTTGATTGGTCAGTGTCATTGTCGGTTTTAGTTTTTGCTGTTGTAGGCTGTAAGGAACTGAAATAACTATGGACATGTAATGCGGTCAAGTCCTGCCCGGAACTGCTTTAGTAACTGTGTATTTCCAAGAAAATAACTGCACATATTAGAATGTCCGACAACCAATCAGATTCATGAATTCAACAACTCTGTAGTATAAGGTGAAAATAAGTTCATATTGACATATCGTTTTAGTCAAAAAAGGCAACTGGAGTATATTTCAACTTCCAAAAAATGTCATTTAATGAGGTAGCATTTGTTATTGCTTATTGTTGAATTTCACTGCTGAACTGACTACAAAATTTAGTGAGTGTGACTTACTCTTGTAGTGTAGGCAGCTTCTGGGTCGTCCTCCAGCACTCTGGACAAGCCGAAGTCTGACACTTTACACACTAGATTGCTGTTGACCAGGATGTTGCGAGCGGCCAAGTCTCTGTGCACATAGCCCATATCCGACAGATACTTCATACCAGATGCGATGCCACGTAGCATGCCCACCAGCTGAATCACTGTGAACTGGGCGTCGTGTTTCTGACAGAGACGGGAAGAAGGGAAAAGTCAAATAAGGTGTTTTATATCAACTGTATAAACAGAAGTCAAAGTCATGCTATGGGTTATAAAACACAATGGAACATTGATGACTCATATCTCAAAACACTGCCTGACTTTTCCAAAGACATCTGTCATGAGCTAACTCTCATGAAATGGTTTTGCTGAGAGTAGCAGATCCTTGACTTAATAAATATGAGCGTTTGACTGTCCTTGCTGGTTTTATCCACAGTGTGCTGCAACTTGTTGAAGAATATAAATAGGATGTACACACGAACACATCGCTGACTGCATATCTGAAGTGAAGCCCACTGGCAGGCTCGCAGTGTTTACACTGCTGCGTGTGAATAGGCCTTTTATACAAAGAATGATATGCTCAGGACTTGGAGATAAACACCATGGGAGGAAGCGCTTCAGTAGGAGAGGGAGAGACTGGCCGGATGAGTGAGATAGCATTGATTTGTCAGGGAGCTCTGGAGAAATGGCTTTCTATACCAAAGAGAGGCAAACTGCAGTTTTAAAGAAATATTTCCAAAAAGGTTTTCACTCATCTACATGTAATGTCCAAACCGGTATGACTTTATTTCTTCCGTAAGACATAAAAGGTGAAATTTTAAAGAATGTTCCGGTCAATATTTTTCTAGCAGTTACAATAAATACGAAATCAGTGACATTTTACTATCATTAATATACTACTATATTTTTTGTCATATAAAATATTTTGAATTAGATTTTTTTGTATTGTAATTTTAGTAAAATTTTTAGTCATTTTGCAGTTTTTATCAATTTGTTTTTGTTTTTGTAAAACAATTGTGTAGTTAATATTAATATTAATATAAATTTTTAGTTTTAGCTATTTTTAGTAGTCCAATATATATATATATATATATATATATATTAGGGCTGTCAAACGATTAATCGCGATCGCGATTCGTAAAAAATATTATTTATATATAAAATATTTATATTTATAAATAATATAAATTATATATATATATATATATATATATATATAAATCTATATACAGTATATACATGAAAATATTTCTTAAATATATACAGTACAAGCATGTGTGTGTATCTCTCTATATAAAATAATTTAATGCACCCACAGTGCACCCACAAATATTATGTAAACACAAACTTTTATTTTGGATGCGATTAATCGCAATTAATCGTTTGACAGCCCTAATATATATATATATATATATATATATATATTAGGGCTGTCAAACGATTAATTGCGTTAATCGCATCCAAAATAAAATTATCCAAAATGATTAATTGCGATTAATCGCATCCAAAATATATTCTTCTCACACAAAGCTAAAGCTTATTATTTCTTATTATTTCAAAAGATTTGAACTATACTGCATGGGTCACATGAACAACGTTTATGATATATTTGGATTCAGTTTTGAAGCTCCAGTCCTCATTCAGTTTTCACTTTTGTGTTCCACAGAACAAAGAAAATCAAACAGGTCTGGAACGACATGAGGAGTAAACAATGTCAAATCCTTTATTATTGTTTGATCTATTTCTCTTCTTTCTCAATGTGAGTTTTTTGTTCTTCCTTTCATTCCTTGTCTCTGTCCACTCTGTTTTCACTTGCTTTCTATGCGAGTGTTTATGTACTGCATACAAACTAAGTTTGGATTAAAATAAACCCCTGGACCACCTGGAAGAGAAAGGAGCTCAGAGAGGTTCAAAGGCTTGCTAATAATAGTGACATGAGCAGTGGCGAGGAAGCGTGTTGGAGGGAGGATGACAGATCTCTTTGATAGAGTGCAGGCCAGGCTGCAGTGCGCAGGAAATTGCTGCAGAACACTGCAACTTTTCTCTTATTTGTAGGAGTGGGATCCTGTGCAGACACACGAGGAACGAGTTCATATAGGTCCTGCTAATTCCATGTCTTGTTTGCTCAGGTTGTTTTAATAATCTGCCCTTGCATACTCATTTCAGTTAGTGTCCAATTTTTTTTTTTTCTAGTTCATCCCCATTCATTGTAGAGCCCAAGTCTAAACATTTAGAAACTCTGCATTGAACCTCTAAATAAATGGTTACACCCAATGAATTAGTCCTCAATTTTCAGTTATTTTTACGAGTACAAGCTCCATCCAATGATTCAAATTCTGCTGTGTTCATTTTGTTCTACAAATAGCAGATTGTCTGGCACAATAAACCATGGCTGGTGGTAAACTGTTGAAAAATGACACAAGGCTGATAAATTCATATGTCAGGTGTATTAGAGCCAAGGCAGTATGGCCACAGCCAAAGGTTAAGCTGGCCCATTTAATGATCTCATTAGCGCATTTATCAGCACTTTTCAGATGGGCCATCCCACAGCCTGTTGTTTGCTTGTTTATTTTCGCAGTGCGAGCGATGGGCTAAGAGGAAGTCATCTGAAGGACAGAGCATGCCCAGTCTGTTTAACTGGCACGGATGGGTTGGCAGGCGGCGAGCCAGTCCCCCCCCCACCCAGTGCCGTTTCAGTCCGATCGCAAGCAAATCCACGTTCTCTATGAGTGTTTCTTCTGAACACAAGCCTGGTCTGTTCTGTGTGAGAGAATGAGGCCATTGTGCATATAGGCTCAAGTGAAATTCAGACACTACAAAGCACTTGAAACACAGGTAGTGTGAGTGTCTATTTAAAGAGGCCTGTGCCTCGGCTACGAATACCAAAGTGATGAATTTGGGGGATGTTAAACACAAAGGCAAAAAAAAAAAAAACCTCTGAATCTTTCCGCAGCAAATAGAGACATAGGTGAGGCAGCGGAGAGCAATTTGTGTCTATTTGTACAAATGAGAATAAAATGTTAAGAGAGCTTGGGAGAATTGAAGGCATGCTGCGATAAGCAGGTACTGAGAGAACGCAGGAGAGGCTGAGGCGCAGATGGGTTTTTAAATGATTTTAGGATGAGCCCTCTGTGCTTTTCTTCTGATCATACATAATGGAGTCTCATTAAATGTGCTCAGTGTGTCACACTCACTCGCAGGAAGCCATCCAAGGAACCGTTCTCCATGTACTCGGTCACTATCATCACGGGTTTACCTGAGGAGAGAGAGCATTCAGACTTAGTCTAATCGAGAAAAGATGTGGCAAAATTGAGCTGTGCTTTTCTGCAATGCTGTCATTTCTTTTGGAAGGTTAAATTGCCCAATTTGCAAACTAATGAGCTTATGTTGGACAAAAGAAAACATCTTCAAAGACAGAAATTCTCAAGAAAAAAAATAATACATTCAAAGGCATGGATACGTTTGACCTTACGTTTAGATGTATATGCTTAGCATAACAATTTTCAAAGTTATTTCAATGATGACACTGAAGAGATTTAAGAATGGACTGGTCATGAAACCTGTCAAGACAATTATGCAAATTACTGTACAAAATACACTACTGTTCAAAATTTTGGGGTCGATAAGTCTCTTATGTTCACTGAGGCTAGTTATTTGATCAACAATACAGTAAAAACAGTAATGTTGTGAAATATCATCATTTAATATAACTGCATCTTATGATTTCAAATAACTTAATCTAATATGTTTTAAAGTGTAATTTATTCCTGTGATGTAAAGCTTAATGTTCAGCATCATTACTCCATGTCTTCAGTGTCACATGATCATTCAGAAATCATTCCAACATGCTGATTTGCTGCCCAATTATTATTATTATTAAAAATATATTTTGTTTCAGAACTCTTTGATGTATAGAACGTTCAAAAGAACCATATTTTTAAATAAAGTCAAATAAAATAATTATATATAATTAAAATAGCTTAAAACCCATAAAGTGGTATGCATTGATGTAGCCATTTGGAGATTATATATATATATATATATATATATATATATATATATATATATATCAGAAGATTGCTTGCTTTGTCATTGGTAGTATTTGGTTTGCTGCTTTTGATTTTTGCTGATAAATATATTCTGTTACAGTATTTTTTAATTACCGTAATGAAAAATCAGCATTAATATTTAATGGTAATTTCACAATGGTACCAAAATGGTAAAAAAAAAATAACAGAAAATCTTAGTAGGCTTTGTTATATTATATTTAAAAACAACTAATTTGTTTTATTTGATTTCGGGCTGAAATGTGACCTGGACGAGTCAGGTTTCTTGAGATTCCCTCTACAGTGCTCATCGCTACATGTGACTGTTATAAAAGGCTCTGGGTTAAGCATATGAATCTTTTCCACAGAGTTTGAGAGGGTGAACAGGTTGTTGGCTACACACCAGGTTTTTAACACATTATTGTCTGAAGCCCATAACAAGAGCAGAGTTGTCGGAGCAGAGGTGCACCTCTTCACATGACACCTCTGACACCACAAGGTCACCAATCATAACCATGACTTACTGGGACTTCAGGTAAATGAGAGTTTCCTGCAGGATGAAAAGAGTCTTGGCCTGAACTTGGACAGACCACAAGGTCAACTGTCACTGTCTGACAGCTTTATTTTCTCTGTCCTGCTGCTCGTATATCACCGGTTTTATCATCTGCACTTTATCTGTGCTTTATTTCAAAGCCTGTACATAAAACGACTTTATATCAATAATAGCCTTATGACCAGCCTGTGTTGTCATGATATGTATGTGCAGAAATGATAATTTAGTCTTTTTCTCCTCCCAGCGTCTCGACAGCTGACAGCCCAGCACTGTGATGAATGGAATTTATGAAATGTGTGTAATTAAAATGAGTGGAGAAGAGCAACCCTGCACAACTCATGACTATAACAGTCTTGCTCACATCTAGCAGCCTTTTATGAGTATTTGCGTCATAAAAATTAGACTATTGCAACTTTATTTCATATGTTAAAATCAGGGCTGTCAAACGATTAATCGCGATTAATCGCATCCAAAATAAAAGTTTGTGTTTACATAATATATGTGGGTGCACTGTGTATAATTATTTTATATGTAAATACACTTAAATGCTTGTATATTTTAAAAAAATATTTTCATGTATATACTGTGTATAGATTTATCTAAAATGTATCTAAAAATTATATTATATGTAAATAGAAATATTTTATGTATAAATAATATTTTTTCTTAAATATACATGCATGTGTATACAAAATAATTAAGTGCACCCACATATATTACTGTATGTAAACACAAACTTTTATTTTGGATGCGATTAATCGCGATTAATTGTTTGACAGACCTAGTTAAAATGTATTTGTTAATAAGGTAAGTAAAATTAACTTAATATTCTTTATAAATCTGAATACAAGAATAAAGTCTTATTAAAAAATAAGAAATAAATTCAGTTTTTTTATACCGCGTAATGCTTTCTTAAGTTTGTTTCCGCCACAGAATAGAAAATGAAAAATGTAATTGCGACTTTTTTTCTCACAATTGCGACTTTTTTCTTTGTGATATAAAGTTATAAAGTGATAATTCTAGGATATAAACTTAAAAAAGTCAGAATTGTAAGATTATATCTCAAAATTCGGACTTTATAACAAGCAATTGCGAGTTTATATCACACAATTCTGACTTTTTATTAATATAAAGTACGAATTGCATGATACAAACTCGCAATTGTGAGATTAAAAAAAAGTTGCAATTATCTTTTAAAATGTTTTATTCTGTGGCGGACACAAGCTTCCATAACTTTCAGTGTTTTATGCACACAGATAAAACATTACACAAACTGTAATGGACCAGTCTGGACCAGTTAAGTTGTTTTATGGTTTCTGATAGCAAAGAAATCCCTCCTCTTTAAACTACACATCTATCCAGTAAACTTTTGATCCTGAAATCCCGCTCGTAATCAGTATCCCGGCCCCTCCGTCTCTCTGTGAAGCAGCAATTGCCGCTCCACAAATATTTTGCCTTACGCAGGGCCAAAATCAGCAGGTTAAATGGGGTGTGAAAGTCTCTGGATTATTAAGAATTAACAGGGCAGAGTTAATAAATCACATCACGTCAGAGGCTACAGAAGACACTTGCCAACCTCCTCCGGCCCCACGGCCCAAACCCGGCACCCCAGACTTACTTTCAAACACACGCAATGTGCACCACCTCCCTAAACACACACACTACAAAGCCTGGTTTCTTACCAGCAACAGCCACATTTGACAGTCATTTACAATGAAGTTTCCCATTATTTACAGTCAAAAAGTCTGAAGCATGAGCACAGTAAGATTTACTCAACCAACATAATCCTCATTTTATGAGGAATTATGGACATGAAAGGAAACTGTGGCATTCCTTTCAGAATACTACTGAAGATAGATTGAAACAAAACTGTCCGGGAAAAGAATGTTTTTCACTACTGACTAAAACATTTGCCTGAATGAAAAACAAGTATAAAGACTAAAATGAAACATCTGATTTTAATTTACTTTTTATATTTAAAATGTAACATATAACAAAAAAAATGTACTTCAACATGCTTTTGAACAACATATATTGCAAAATGCCCTATTTAAATAAACTGAAACATCAATTGTTTTATGGTATACCTTTTTTAGGGTAAAATACTTTCCTAAATAATTTTAATATGCAGTACTATTCTAGGTTGATGTGGCCAAAATGTCCCAGAAAAATCAGGCTGCGCACAAAAATCAGGCTACGCACATCATGCCGAAAATATAATGAAGACGTCATCTGTGCTTTCCGTCAATGGAATACACTTCGAAGGCTTGCACCCTCAAGCTGTCTGTTTGAAGTTAGATAAGGTAAAGTGTGAACAATTTCTTTTTTTTCTCCTCATTTTCGCCTATGAGTCCCTAAAGAGGATTGTGGAATGGATTAGAGAATTTCGCTTTGATCATGCTACATAATAAAGACTGATCTAGGGAGATTTACAACCACAGGTGATTTACAGCCCTGTGTGAATTGTCTCTCGTACTGGACATTGGCCCAACGTTATAAGAAAGAGGTCAATAAAACAGTGGCTTTCTGTGCAATGGATTTGCCAACTTCATGACATTCACTAATATTCCATAACTGGAAACAGCTAATGTTTTATATGAGATACTCCCAAAAGGACGAGCTCCGAACTTACATCTAAACGTGATAAATGAAACTTCCGAACATATTCAACTCACTGTACAGCACACGCTTGCATGCTTTTCATAAGGATGCAGCAGCAAAATAAATAAATAAATCACCTAAATCATTCATCTTTCTTCTTTTGAAATGGAGAAGTATTAGAACTGAAGTATTAAAAATAAATTGTAAACAGGTGGGCGCACTGAATGTGTTTAATCAGTGAGTGGAATGTTACTTACTTCGTGTGACCACACCTTCCAGCCTGATGATGTTGGGGTGGTCAAACTGTCCCATGATGCTCGCTTCACTGAGGAAGTCCCGTCTTTGTTTCTCTGTGTATCCGGCTTTGAGAGTCTTGATGGCCACACAGATCTCCTTCTTAGACGGGAGCTTCAGTCGGCCACTGCACACCTCTCCAAACTCCCCTGGTGAGAGATGCTTATTTTAGGGAAAATGAAAGCTGACAGGAGAAGCACTGATTTCTCTTCTAATTAAACTGCATTCATGCTAATTCATGCTAAAAATTACATCTAAGCTCTGTCTGTCTAAGAAACAAAACATTATCTGTGGGAAAATTGGAAAAACATTTACATTAACATTTTTGGTACAATATTCTCATAACGCGTGTTTTTTTATGTGGGTTGGAATGAAATGAGCAGGAATCTAATAACATTGATATCCATGCCATTTTTTTTTTTATTTTAGATTATTAAAAAGGAGCAATGTGTTTTACATTATTTGTGCATATTTTCTGTAAAAATATGTTTTCAGACTATACACTCTAAAAATTGCTGGGTGGTTTTAACCCAACCTTGGGTCAAATATGGACAAACCCAGCCATTGGGTCATTTTTAATCCAACGTTTGGGTTTGTCCATATTTGACCCAGCATTTTTAGAGTGCAAAAACATTCAGATCCTTCATAGGTTTATACTACCCTTCAACTACAGTATTTGTGAAGGATCTTGTGACACTGAAGAGTAATAATGCTGAAAATGTAGCCTTGCTATCACATAAATAAAGTACACTTTATAATATATTAAAATAGAAAAGAGTAATTTTATATTATGATAATATTTCACAATATTGCTTTTATCACTGCATATCAGCCTTTGCGTTCAGGACAATTATGACTACTCAGTATTTTTTTTTTAAGGTGGAGCATAATGATGATCCTAGTCTTAAAGGCATAGTTCACCTAATAATGAAAATTTGGTCATTATTTACTCACCCTCATGTCGTTCCAAACCCTTTAGACCTTTGATCGTCTTCAGAACATAAATGAAGATCTTTTTGATGAGATCTGAGAGCTTTCGGCCCCTCCATTGACAGCTACGCAACTACCACTTTGACACTTCAAAAAATTCACAAAGAGATTGTAAAAACTCAATATGAATTGAGCGTTTAGTCCAAATTTTCTAAAGAGACTTGATCGCTTTATATGATAAACAGATTGAATTTATGCTTTTATTCACATTTAAACATTGATCAGTGAAAACAAACATCATTAGTTCTTGCTGAAGCTCAAACGTGCTGCGTAACATGAGAATTACCTCATTGGGTCACGTCACGTAAACATTCTTGAGCTTCCGTTTACCACAACTGATATGTAAGTTGATGAATAGTTTTATGGGAATAAAAGCCTTAATTAAATTTTTTCATTTTGGACTAAACTGCTCCATTTATATAGATTAGTTTTACGATCTCTTTATGAACTTTTTGATACATCAAAAGTGGTAGATGCGTAGCTGTCAATGGAGGGAAAGACAGCTCTCAGATCGCATCAAGAAGATCTTCATTTGTGTTCTGAAGATGAACAAAAGTCTTACGGGTTTGGAACCAGATGAGGGTGAGTAATTAATGACAGAATTTTCAGCGTTGGGTGAACTAACCCTTTAAATTGATTTCTAGGGCACGTACGCAGGTGTAAGGCAAACTTCAAAGTCCTCAGCAGGGGATCAGATCTCCACAATGGACGATGCTGACAGAGACTTGGATGGACATTTGGGTAAAAATGATGTCACCACCTAGACATCCAAGCCAGGGCCATGTCCTGTTTGCAGAATTCGATGTGCAATTACTTTATTTCCCATGCAAGTTTAAAGAGATGGGTGAAATCCAGGATTGATGTCTGGAAAAAGTTAGCGGGAATAATTGCAAGCTGTCTAAACAACCGCTACATTGGACTTGGCTAGCGCTCAGATGATGTTGACCATCTTAAATATCAACCTGGCTTAATCCTCAGCAGTGATTGCTCTGATAAGCTTTGCAGATAAATGAAGATCTCCCAAAACCAACGCTAAAAGATCATTTTCCAATTTTCACCTTTGTATCACTTGCCAAAGTGTATGAAAGCTGCAAAATGCAGAAGTGACATTTGAACCAGGGAACGTGCTTATTTGTAGTGCGTAAGCCCTGATGTTTGTATGCCGACGGTACGGTGGTGCATCAAAAGTCAACGGTTCCTTTATTTGCTGGGCTCTGCTGCATTGTCTATAGAGCCATGAATCACAAGGCATTATCTTGATATGTGCTTTGCTGTTTAAGACATCAGGGATGCGGGGAGAGAGAGAGAGAGAGCTGTGGGGGGTGAAATATAATATCCCAGCCGGAGGTGTGCTCTGCTTACCCATGCTCCTCTGCTCCGGCAGCAGGCAGTCTATTAAAGGCATTGAGGCAGTGAGGATGAGCACTGGGAGGGACCCTTTCCCCATCTCAAAGCCACACACCTCCAACTGTGGTGCTAAATGATTCTCATTTACACCACCTGCCATGTTTGTTACAAGTGGAACAACTTTGTTTCATTGCACCAAAGAGTGAGTGATGACACCGCATACCTGCCCCAACGACTTTGTCTATGGCGATACAAGACGCTTCCAGTTCCTTGGCGAATTCGTGCACGGCTTGACTCGGGTCTTCATAAGTGTGTGGGTCCACATACGTCTTGATGCCAGGCAGTCTCACTAAAAAAAACAAAACAATAATAATGCCAGTGTTTATGAGGCAGGGGGTTCTGTTCCAGTTTTGTGTAGCTTTATTGTTGTTGTTTATTGCCTTTTTCACCTGTTCACTGCATGAGAGTATCAACAAACAACGTGAAAGCATTTTTTTTTACAGTGTAAAGACAACTATTTAGTTGAATAGGTATAGGGTTCCTATTCATGGGGTTTTCCAATTATCGTATTAAATAATTATAAAGCTCACAAGACAACCCAAAACAAATCTGGCATCACGTCACTTTTACCTTTGCTAAGCGAAATTTCGCAGCTGAAAGAATGCCGGACCAGATGTAACAACATACGGTGAATGATGCAGAAATAATAACAATAAAACTAACTCTAAATAACGGCTTTCTAAAAGCCTCTGACCATTTTATAAAGTGTAGTGTTACTGTTATATGTGCTAAAATGAGTTTCTCTCTTTAGTTTTGCTTTGTTTCCAAGTTACGAATCTCTGCCCATACAGCAGTCACTGCGGAACCAAGAGGCTTGCTGTTGGTTGGCACTGCGAATTTGTGTCTCACCAAAGTTCAACCAGATGCAAAATTTGAGTAAACAAATTTCTTTGCTACCAGATCAGCCGAAATTCAAATGACTGGATTTTGCTTGTGAAATGTCGCAAAACAACGATAAAATGCAACCACACCTTAAAGTTGACCTGAAACGGAAATTGTGATCGTCTTTTCTTCTGTGATGTGACATATTTGAGTGAAACAGCTTCTCGGATGAGAAAAAAGGTAGGGCAGATTTTTTTTTCATCAGGAATTAATTGGGTTATTGTCATTTTTGTGCACACATGATCTGAAAAGAGATGTTTTTACATACATACAAAGATATGACCCTACCATACACCCAGTGCAATGCAGTGCTAGACGAGACGCAAGTGTTTTTTGCTAGTTTCAGCCCAACGCAGTTATCATTTTCACGTCCGGCGCCACGTTGTTTAAATAGCAAATGCATTTGCGCCCATCTGTGCAGCCATTGGCGTGTTGGTCTGAAAACGAGGTGTTTGGCGTGTTGCTATTTTGAGGCAACTGAATTAGACTGTACCCTTGACCAACAAAAACCTGGTCTAAAGTCAATGGCACAGTATTTTTATTTATTTTTTTGTTATTTAAAGAGCGCGTTAGTAATATGTGCCATAGGCGAGTCCACAATGCACTTCACACTTTGTCCCGTAGATGGTTTGGTTGCGTGCTCGAGCAGATCTGTTAGCTTTCTGGAAAAGCGTTCAGTTTTTCCACTTGCAAATTGCACCATGTAAATAGCGAATCCGAAATGGTGCGAACGCAATTGGCTTTTAAAGGGAATGTGAGATCAGACTCGTTATTGCACGTTTTGCCCAAAACACATCCATTACACATTAAGAGAATAGGGACAATTAGACCATATGCTGGGTGCACCGACCATTTTTCCCATCGTTAAACTAACAAAAGTGGATTCAGACTTAAGTTCACTTGCGTCGTGCGCTTTAGACCACGCGCTTAGATCATTAAAATGGGGCCTAATGAGATTATGGTGACTTTAAGACTGCAATTATCTTCAACATTTTGTTTTTATGTTTATCAATTCAGGCTAAATTAATTGCAGAAGTTTGACATTGTGGGTTAGGATGTTAGAAAAAAGCCTAACTTTGCACTGTAAAAATACTGATGCTTGTGCATGGGAGGTCGAGTGGAAAAAATAGCAAATTCCGTCACAGAGGTTGTTGATTTGAATCTAAACGATAGGAAGCTAAAGTTGTCAAGAAAGGTAATTTGCTGGGTTTCAAGATGGATAGCTCTATTATGGATGACCTAATCAGTTACCTAAGCTATAGTCCTACAGGGCAGCTTGTGCAGGTTAATCTAAGAGAAATAGTGTGGGCCTCCATTAAATCTCCTTCCTTATACCTCTGCCAGTGTGAAAAATGGTAGCATGTGGACAATTGGCTTGCTGTAACACGGGAGCAAAGGATATTATTAAAAACCTTCATCGTTACTGGGTTTTTGTGGGCTGTCTGACATTTAAAAATAAATACCACAGCAAAACTTTATTTTTATGTTTACTATATTTTTAAGGAATGGGTATTAAACGCCTGGAAAGATCCTGAATACTTGCAAGACCGAAGAGTAGATATACAGTATATAAGATATATATACTCACAGTGGCCGTTGCCAAAGGGCAGCCTCTTTTCATCTGGATGTTTGGACTTGCTGTATCTACACAACCTGTCAATTAAAGTGATGAAAAGCGTTAATTATTCTTAACAGCTTTAATTGGAACATTTTTCTTCTCTAAACGATGTACAAAGAAACTAAAACCTGAACAGACTAAAGTCAGAGCCAGTAACAACTTGACTGTTTTGCTTTGCTATGAGGCATGACAGTATTCTGGGGTCTTATAATAAGCCATAGATTCAGTGCGGTGCAGTCTGCCAAAATCAGCTCCTCTGCATGACATGACACTTGACTCTCAGGGTGCCCGTTACATTCGGCAAAGCAGGGGCAGGGGAACAAAAAAAAAACAAAAAAACAAAGCTTCTGCCAAGTGAATCGTCTACAACTAGGGGCACACATGAAGGGGCACACATTTTCATACTTCATATTTGAAGAAGGGGGGGAATCAAGGGTCCTGGGGAGAGACTTGAGACAGCAAAGTGACAGCTTCAAGATGGGCACACTTAAAGCCCTGCGTGACTGTGGTTTGAGTGACAGACAGACCTGCTAATCACAATGTAGAGCACTACAGTGAGGAGGATGATGGCCACAGCGGAGGCGATAGCGATCAGCACCACCTGACTGTTCTCACTGGAGATGGAAAAGGCTGGGGGAGAAAGAGAGAGAGAGAGAAAGGCAGGTTTTTATGTACACATTGGACAGATTATGCAGCTTTTCAAGGGCTTTCTTTGCTGCTCAAAGGTCAAATGTAAAATTTAATTAGATTGTTTTCTTTTTTTGATCAAAATAATGACATTATCTGCCACTGACCCTTAAACCCCCTGTCCTCAGATCATAACTGAATACTTAAAAAATCAAAAAGATAGTCTATATACCCTTGAGGAATCAGAAATGAGTTTAATTGTATAGAATGTGCACTTGCAGGGTATTTCAAATCTTAAAAGTATACACTGTATATATATATATATATATATATATGTTTTTTATAAACTGCACGTGCAGATAATACAATATTGATGAAATGAAATGCTTAAGTGTATACTTAAAGTACACTTTCATGTTTTTTTTAACAATTTAAAAACAATTATGTACACTTTTTAAAACTGATTCTAAATTAAAAAAAAAAATGTACTGAGTGTCAGCTTGCTTATTTTTCTCAAGATAAGGATGTTGTTTCCACGTCATGCAAAAAACAAACAAAAACAAAAACAAAAAAAAAACGAAGCTTCTAACCACAGGTCGAGACCTGTCGTTACAACCACACAACTTTGCAACGCTGTTTGTGAATGTTTGTTAGAACTATGTTTTCTGGAAACACTGAGTGAAGGCCTTTTTAACGACAGAACTTGCAACCGTTGGCTAACAACGCTTTTGGGAAACACACACCAGAGCATTAAGCATTACACTTTAACCATATTTCAACATTAAAAGTAATTATGAAATTACATATAAAGATATACTAAATTTCAACTAGCATTTAATTGCATGTAATCATTTAATAGCAATTAATATGCAATTAAGTAAGCATTCAGTATATATATATATATATATATATATATTAATATATAATATTTTTATATATAAGTTTAACAGGGTCACACAAACTCTGGTGATTTATATATATATATATATATATATATATATATATATATATATATATATATATATATTGTGAAGCAATTGTGTGCATATTTTTGTGTGCAATTTTTTTTAGGTAGTTTTCCACATTTGTAGTAGATGTAGCTACAGTAAAACAACAGAAAAACAAAACTGTTTCTGCATTTATATACATGTGTCAAGTGAAAAATTAAATACAGTTATTTTGTTAGCTCCATAAACACCGTCTGTTTTCCTTCAGGAAATGACAGTAAGTTTGAAACAATCCTGTATTCTGAATCCATCCTTTAACAAATTTAAATGCAAGATTGTAAATATTTATGATAAACATGTGACATGAGATTACAGTTATTGTTTTTTTATTGGATGGTGTTGACATCTATTGAGTGTGATGACAAAGAAAAAAATCATTTTTCACAAAAATCAAGAGAGTGGAAGCAGCAGGAGTTTGCAAGCTGATGTAAATCAATACCTCTGAACATAAGGAACAAATTAATCCAAAATTGGTCCTACAGGAAAAGGAACCTTGTTCCTTTTTAAATCCGCAGCTTTTTAAACCCAGTACTCAATAATCGAGTTATCAGATTAATTAATGAATCAATATCGAGACATAAACTTCTACAAATCATTTAACATTTATGATGCTACTCATTTTCAACTAATGAATATTTAACACAAAAAATGTACACATTTATCTCTTTCATTATTGAATATCTAGTGACTGAGACACATAATTCCATATTCAGACCTTTTCTGCATGAGTTATGATCTCAGTTGTGCCACGGTGTATATTTCGCTACTACATCTGTAGAGGCGCCTATAGATCTGTGATCATGCCCAGAAACCTGTGGAGAGCCACTCACAGTATCATTTCATTACATGAGTGTGCATTGATTTCCTATAAATGTTTCATTAGATAAAAAGGCCTTCAGCAATGCTGCTCTACAACATAGGGTTTACAATAGTGTTTCAGACAACAGCTGCCAGCCATCACAGGACAAAAGATACAGCATGTGTCGTTTTAACCAAGTGGTTTACTGTGTGAATGACTTGCTAGACGGTGTGTGAGATGAGAAACCAAGAGAATTGTGACTATTGTCTATATTGTTCTGCACAGCTGTGAATGGATCGCATAGATCCGGCGTGGTGACTGGGGGAATGTGACTGTAAATAGAGAACAGCATGATAGGAAGTAAGTAAATGCTTACAGTCTGGGCTGGTCTCAAACTCAAACTTGCGACTGGTCCCGCCGTAACCGGCAGCGGTGCGCGCTCTGATCTGCAGCAGGTACGTGGTGTCGGGTTTTAGGCCGTTCAGTGTGACATTTGTGCCCTTCGACCTCAGGATGGTGTAACTGGTTTCTTGTTCCTGCTGTAGGAAATAAACCAAGAAGAACACAGAAAGGAGTTTCATTAGTTTCAGCAGAGCACAAACATCTGAGCATCTTTTGCCTGCAATAACAATGCTAGATAAATGAATGAGGTTAATGGTGATTTTGAATCTTTGAATCTTTAGATCAATGGATCTTTCATCAATTTCTTGGTTATTATAATGTATAATATCTTTAGCACTAAGAAAAGTGCTTTTCACAACATAATTTACATGATAATCCCATATACACCACTGGTCAGATGTTTAGGGTCAGTAAGGTTTTTTTTTATTATTATTGTTTTGATAGAAGCCTCTCACCAAGGCTGTATTTGTTTGATCAAAAATCAAAACTTTTTTAAATTTTTTTTTAAAGTTGTAAATGAAAAAAAAAGAAAAAGACTGAGTATATTTTGCAAGAATACAATACTATTTCAGTCATACTTAAAAAATCAATGTATTACTTGCCATTGCTTTCTGAAATTCACTACTAATTTCTGAGTGAACAATTTTAGGACGTCATAACTCAATTGTCTTTAGTTTAGAGTAAAAATTGTGAAATATTCTTTTAATTTAAAATGACTGTTTATTAAAATGACTGTCTATTTTAATATATTTTAAAATGTAATATATAAAGTTGAATTTTCAGCAACCATTACTCCAGTCAGTCACATGCTCATTCAAAAAAAAATATTCTAAAATTCCGATTTAGTGCTTAAGAAATATTTATTTTCATTTTTAATGTCGTGCTGCTTAATATTTTGTGTGTGAAAAGAAACCATGATACATTCTTTTTAGGATTATTTCATGAACAGAAAGTTAAAAAGAACACTATTCATTTTTAATAGAAAACTTTTATAACTTTATCAATGTCTTTACTGTCACCTTTGATCCCTTGCTGAATAAAAATGTTGAATAAGAAAATGTGGGCTGGGACTAGTTTTTATCCAACGGGATTTGAATTGATTAAGTTGTCGTAATTTTATTTTGATTGAAGCTGAAGAATATATATATTTTTTTAAATAATAATTTCCTATTCTAGTAGAGGCATGTCACCTACCCTAAAAACAGCTGCCTGGGACTGTTACTAATATAGATTGACTTGCCTTTAAGGGACTTAAGAGCAACTCAAGGCCACTTACGCAAAACCTTGTCTTAAACAGTAATAATGAGCATTAGAGACATACAAAGACCATCTGACCATACGCGGGGACAGGAAAGGGATGTTTCTAGACGGGAAAACGCATGCCCATCGGGAGCATCTAAGGCTATCTGGGACAGTGCCAGCTCATCTTAATATACTGCCACCTTCGGTTCACATTTTTATGGCTTTCCTAAAGATTTCTGTGGTACGCTGATCCTCTCTACAAGCAAAAAGAGAAAAAAAAAACCCAACTGATTTATGGGGCGTCTTTGCTTTCAAACCATTGTTTCCAGATGTTTCTCTGACTGGAAAAAGAGGCAGGAGTGGAATGAGAAAGAGCGGAGGTTTCAGTTGTATATTGTAGGAGTTTAGAAAAAGGGGCAAAACATCCCACAAACAGAGAGATCACTCATTTGCCGGCATTATCCAGCACATTCATCCATGTAACTTATCAGTCTTCAGCCTTAGCTAGTGTTATGGCAAAACTTCAAAAGTTCATTTGCGTTTTGCTCTATCGTTGACCTCTAAGAACAGCTCACTCGTCCACACTGTAGATATTAAATTTCCCCAGGCTGAAGTAATTAACGGCAAATGAGATTTGAGAGCATCTTTTCGAGGGTCGGTAAACATGTAACAGATCAAGCTCTATTGGGTTTCATGTCTAGACTACACATGCTAATAGGATTCATAATGCGCCAAGGTATGGACCATAATTGTCAGACGTCACTATAGATGAGAGATGTGGTGTACAGTTACATACGCTGGATTTCTTTGAATATTCTCTGCTTATCAGAAACAAATAAAACAGCAATAATAGCCACATTTATAACAATGTGAGCAAATAGAAAAGAAACAAGGCTTTTAAAATGCTAAAACAGATGTTAAATGGATTACACTACACTGTAAAAAATGGCTGTGAAATCTACAGTTATTTACGGTAGATTTCACAGTAACATTACTGTGTAAGATTCTTACAGTAGAATACTGTAAACTTTACAGTAAGACCTTAAAAATCACAGTAGTCCAAGCATTACAGTTACTGTAAATACAACTAAAACCACAGTAATTGTTTTTGATTCCACAGTGTACACATAAAATACTGTAAATGGAATTACAGTACCCTTACTGTAAAAATGATTCACAGTAACTTACTGGCTAATTGTTGCCAGTAAGTTACTGTAAATTTTACAGTAATTTTTTTACAGTGTACCAATTGATCAAATGTGACATTAAATACTTTTGCATTGTTATAAAAGATTTTAAAAAATATTAAGAAACACAACCATTTTGAACATTAATTATAATACAAAATTATTATTATTGAACATTATTATTATTGAAAAAAATATCATTATTGAACATTTTGAACAATAAAAAAATCAAATGTTTATGGAGCACCAAATCAGCATATTAGATTGATTTATGAAGGATGTAAGATAAATTATGCATTTATAATATTTCACAATATTATAATGTTTACAATTTTGATCAAACAAATGCAGCCTCGGTGAACATAAGAGACAGTAATGAAGTGTTTTGATTTTGAGAAATTATTAATGTTAATAGAATGTTGTCATATACTGTAAATAATTGTGGAATTATATGTACATTATATTACATTATATGTGGATTTTTACATAGTAATTTAAAACCATATATATATATATATGAAGAGTTCAGATGCAAAAGCCTCTAAGCGCCATTTGAAATTTTCTTCTAAAATGATAATTTTTTATCAAGCTTGTATATTTAAGTTCAGTAATTTCACTTAAATGGCAATGAAGATTACCTATTAATTGTTATTTAAGTGAAATTACTGAACTTAAATATACAAGCTTGATAAAAATGGTCATTTTAGAAGAAAATTTCAAATGGCATTAAGAGGCTTTTGCATCTGAACTCTTCATATATATATATATATATATATATATATATATACACACACACAAAAATTACATCAGACCAAGTCACTCAAACAATTTGGCTAAAATGTTGAAATCATGACCTCCAAATGTATTTAACATTTCTAAAACCTAAGAAATATAATAAGCAAAAAATAAAGGAAACAAATATGCATGCACAATATGTGTCCTAACAACTTAAATACACATTTCACCACATAAGTAATAATATTTGACATTGACCAGACTTATACAAATCAAAACCAGACCGCCAGTTTAGTTTGAACATGTTCCTTAGAACATTCAAAACAAATGAAAAGCCATATTTCATCAGGATGCATGTTTTGTTTTTTATTCCCATATCTTTTCACAAAGAGCCAGTATAGCGATGGTGGAGTTAGATCATAGATGGTCTTGTCCTTGTCCTTTATACATCTGTCAGCGCGGCTGAGCTTTGGACATTTGCGACGTGATAATGTTGATATTACAGGAACATCCCAACTCTAAATCCTATCTGTTTAGCAACCGTGGCAATTTCAGGATGGAAATAGACCTTTTTAAATCTTAAGCAAAGAATTAAGATAGGAAGTTTGTATAATACAGCCCCAGATGCAATATTTTGGTATTTCGGCTCCTCTCACAGTACTTTTTGAATGAAGAACTAATCCAAAACAGCTCTTTTTTGGGATCCCCGAAGAGCCTGTAAGTGTCACCAGTGGACAATTGTTTGTAAAAAGTGATTTTCATCTGTATATCTAGCAGTTTTATAAATGCGGTAGGACGTCTACTGACAAAACCCATGATGGAAAGAAACATCCATATGATGTAGCGGGACTCTAGTGGAAACCCAGTGACTAATGCAAACATCACATTTGATCTGGATCTGACGACAATCATTCCTGCTTCTTTTCCGAACGCAGCACAGAAACCAGTTCTAATCTTTGAACTTTGAATGCAAAGCCACAAATGGAGCGCATCAGGTTTTATGGTTTGAGGAGGCCTCGAATATAAATTCACTCTGCCACGGAAGACGAAACCAATACCTTGTGTCATATTGTATGCGTCCCCGTTCGAGTCATAAATCTTTTCACAGGGTGTCACCGTTCACTGCTCACGACACCATGTGATCAGCTGGAAATCACATACAGGTGTGTCTAAATTTTCGCTGCAAAAAATATATTCTTACCATATGTCCTAGGTCCGCCTCAGCCACCTCCCAGCTCCGGGGTTTGACAAGGCGTGCAATTGTTACTTTTCGACAAGTGCGCTATTGGTGGAATTTAATATGCTTGTCATGTTCTACTTTGACAGTCTAAATATTGCAATCTGGGCTCACAGCCTTCCTCTCCTCTAAATTCTGTAAATATAAAATGGCTTTTCCAAAGCACTCCTTCCATCTAAGTTTGACGAGAAATAAACATTCTCAAATACACTGCGAGATCAATACGATAAACGGACCAAAAAAAAAAAAATGGTGCAGTGTGCACCATTTCACTTGCACGAAGAACATTGAAAACGCAGATCTGTGAGTGTTCCCAAAAAGACGAGAGCGACCAGGATGCTGTAACGTCAGGGAAACATGAGCCAGAGCGCTCAAGTATTTAGAGATGCTTGAATTGTAAGGCTCTTTCCTCTTTCGTAGCTTTGTTCATTTGATATATACACACAAAAGAGCAGAGTATGTCCCCCTGGCATATAATCAAAAAGAGATTTATTTTAAGTGAAGCAACATGGGCCTCGTGGACCTCCGGATTGGACCTCTTGCTTTCTCACAGGAGCTGCATCACTCCGGTTACCATGCATCCCGATGCCTTTTTGAAAATCCATTAAGCGCAGTTTGTTTGATTTTGCGCTATACAACATTATGCAGTGTAAACATCATGGTGTTTTTGAACTCTGCCCGTTGATGCCACATTTTTCTTTGAAAAGTCACTTAGCGAATCTGGCTCTCTTTTATGAGGTTTATATGTTCAAGTCTGCGGCCAGTGTGTCAGTGAATCCGGTAAGACGATTTGGGGCCCCCTTTCCTTCTCAGTGTGTGTTTTGTGAGGGTGAAGGTGGCTTGTTATCCTCTGCCAGCCTAGATCAAGGGGCACCGAGGGTCTTACCGAGGGTGTCCCTGGCTTTTCCACATGGCAGCACCAGTTGTGTAGGATTTGGGCGACTCCAGCTATGCCTGATGAAGCAATGCCTCACAAGGTTGTGTAATTAACAGCATTCAATGGAGAGAAGGACTAGATTTTATTGTGAACGGGGAACACTGTGCCACCCAGGGTCAAATGAGACATGGAGGATTTCAGGAGCCCCCGAGTGTACCTGTGCCAGACGGGGAAAATAGCCCACGACGAGCTGCCTTTTGCTTGCAAATAAGGGGATTAGGGCCAAGCAAACACATTTCCACAGGCAGAGATCTCTGGGCCTCACTGATCTCACAGAAAGACACATAAGAAAGGTCCTCACTAGGAAGCACAGGGTCCAATGAATCTAACAAACACTCCTTTTTCACCAGCAGATGGAAAACCAATATCAGCATATTTGGATTTAATGTAAATGATGAACACATTCTGAGTGTGTAACTCGGCTCAAGAGAGTTGAGCTGCTATCCTCAAAAGGTCAACTCATAAAGTTTCCACGTGAAACATGCAGGCCTAACTTTCTTGAAGCGATTAAAACTGTTTCTATGGCTAACTTATTAGCTCATTCTGCTGAAGCTTAGGTTACATAACGGTTGATTTTTGTTCAGTGCTTATGCTTATACGGTAAATCTGAGGCTGTAATAATAAACCCTGTTTGGAAATAAATTAATTCTGAGAGCCCTGTCAAAATAACTTAACAAGTAATTCTTACTGTAAGATATCCTTTCATTATGACTGGGGGATATTTTCAATATTCACAATATAGTATCGTTCAAAAGTTCACATTAAGTCAGATTGAAAAAAAAAACAACAACTTTTATTCAGCAAGGACACATCAAATTGATCAGAAGTGACTTTTATATTGTAAAAAAAATATTTTTTATTTCAAATTAATGCTGATTATTTGAACTTTAATCAACATATTAATAATACGAAGAAATGTTTCAGCATTAGACTGGCTAGATTGGTTGACATTTAAGACTAGAGTAATGGCTGCTGAAAAATCAGCTTTGCTTTCACAGAAATAAATTACATTTTTAAATATATTTAAAATAGAAAACAGTTTTTATATGTAGTATTTCACAATATTACTATTTTTACTGTATTTATATCTAATATGCAGCCTTGGTGAGCATCAGAGACTTAAAAACAATAAATAAATAAATCAAATCTTACCACCCCCAAACATTTGAAATTTATTCAGCAATTATTATGCAGGAATCTAAAATGAAGCATTTATTATGTACATTTTTGGGCCATTAAGTTTCATAAAAAGCATGTGTTTTCATGAATCCGTTTAAACTGTATCTATTCAATAAACGTGTGTCAACACATACAATTTTAAATAAATAATTAAACATAAAATCTTAAAGCCATTTTTTAAAAATGTATTTTAACTGTCTTATAATTTGGCCACAATGACTATTGGGTTGAAACAATATATTGAAATTCATTTGAAATAAGCCACCTCAAAGTCAATAAGCTATATTACAAATCGTCAGAAGGCTGATAAATATCTAGATATAATTTCCCTTTTTGCTACAGTATATCACTCAGCCCTAGTATTTGGACAGTGGAAAGCACACACTCAAATGAGCTGCTTGTCTACAATATTGGCATGAGCTTTCAATTTTGAACTTGTAAGACCTTTTTGTCATGATGAAGATGAACCACGTCTTGGAGACAACCAAATCCTGTCTACGATTTCATTCTGTGCGTCTCTGTGTGGTCATACAGTCAAGCCATTTATCCACAAAGCTATGGAATGTTTTTTCTGCGGCAAGAATCCTGGAGGGTTGCCATTGGAGACTGTTCTAGGGCTTTCTTTCACACCCTCAGATCCCCTGCCAGTTCGGGATAGGAGTCTCCCGCAATGTCAGGGCCCAGTTAAGTTCCAAACCCAGAGTCGCGCTTTCTTTATAGCGAAGGAGACGTTACCCACTTCACCTTGGGGCAGAAGACATCACAGGATCTGACAGCATGAAAGAGTCCTCTGAAAACTGACCCTAACAGAGCAGCGCTACAACAATAACCCTCGATCAAGTCTACGGCTCACTAATCATATGGCATCTGCAGGAAACCAGCGGAAGGGCCGACCAGAGTGGGTTGTGACAGGAGAGGTTGTGTTAAGGTTTTTTTTTTTTTTAAGATGGGCAAGTAGGGCTTGTATCCCACAAGGGCTTTAATGGGCAGGTGGTGTTTAGATCAGTGTTACAAGACCAAAGCTGAGATCATCTGGCACTTTCACAGATTGTTAAGAAGGCTTAAAATGAACTGACCTGGTCAGTGAGGACTAAGCAATGTTTCCTTTACAGCACTTCCCACACAGACTGAAAGAAAATTGGTGCAGAAGGCAGACTCAGATAGGATATTGAGTTCTGGAAACAAAACTAAATAGATAGTCAAAAATAAATAAAATCCATCTGCATGTTCATATTTGTTGATTTTGAATTGAAATTTTGAATTTGAATTTTATGTGCCACATTCGCACAAGATAAGCGAAGCCTGTGATTTTACTCGAATTTACTGACTTATCTCCTGGATATATGATGATATCAATAGGCTATTGCTTGGAAATGTCTTGTCGTTATAGGTCTAGCTGTATGATCTATCATAAACAGAAGAATGTTCCTGGTTTTCAGTTTTCTCTTTCTGCAAATTGTATAGTTGTGGTGAATAGCGATATGACCCAGCACCCAAAATACTATCAAACACTCCAACGCAGACTCCATTCTTCGCGAAAGATGGATAAAAAGACGCACAGGAAAGTCAGATTCGCATGGGACTTAAATTATCACAGGACCTCGGTGTTCGGCGAAATTTGGTAGGTCATTTGCAGAGGAATTTTTTTTACAAATTACAAACATGGCCGATTCGCACGGTATTAAGATCACAGACAACCTCCGCAACTATTACAAATGACTAGAGGTCACCAGGTAATACTTATCCTACCCTATCTCACGACCAATTCGTACGAGTGATTCAAAAGTGGCTAATTCGTACTAATTCATACGACCTCACTCGTACGATTTGTCTAAACCCATGTGACTGTTATGTTTAGGGGCGGGGTCAGGGGTAGGTCATTCGTACGAATTCATACGAATTGGCTAATTCGTAAAATATGTACGATTTAGCAAAATAGTACTAATTCGTACGAGTGAGGTCGTACAAATTGTTACGAATTAGCCACCTTGTAAAATTCGTACGAATTCCCATGAGATCGGGTTGACTTATCCCGTGCAAATACGGCTTTAATTGTCAAATTACTTCTATCCAATTTATTGTAAAATGATGTAATTCGAGAGGTCCACCCGATTTCATCGAGGCCCTCTCACCACTGGTTCATAGTGTTCTAAAAGAGTTTCATAGTGAACAGCGAACAGGTGGGTGATTCTCTTCAAGTGGCTGAAGGGTCTGTCCGAATATTTTGAGAACATTAGTACCTGGTTAAACATTTGATTTCAGGAAAACGTCTCTCAGCAGAACAGAAAGAATCTATTTCACCTCAAACAATCAAATGAATCCACCTACACTAATGACTTGAAATGCTCCCAGATATATGGGTGTGTACTCTGGACCAAGATTCCTAATGAGGCTAAATAAAAGAACATGATGACTTCAAATTAAAATGTTAATGCAGTGAGTGCCCACAGCGAGTCGAAATTAAACTGTCCCCACCTTCTCATAGTATTTGACCTCGTAGTCCAAAATGATCCCATTGGGTCTCTCTGGCTCCATCCAAGACAGTGAGATGCTGTTTCTTGATGTTCGGTCCTTCCTGATGACAGTCACTGCAGATGGAGCTGCGGAGAGAGAGGGAAAGGAACACACAAAATCGAAAGAGGATTAGCTGTTTCCACTCTGTATTACAAGCACATAAAGCCATAAGGTCACAGGAAGTTCAGCTGACATTTTCATTCAACAATTTGCATCCTGTGAACTGGTTCCTGTGGACCTAATCGAGTTTGCTCTCCACTGGGGGCCTGTTTCAAAGTTGGGGAAGTTGGAGGACTGAAAGACAAATCAATGCAATCGGGGAACGGCTGGTCCCTGCAAACAACGGCCACTGTTATGTCAAGTGAATACCTCAAAGTTTGAGGCATGACTTATGAGCTTCAGTGTTTTTTTTTTATTTTATTTTTAATTTTTTATGCAGAGGGTCCCAAATATGATGTGTAACAAGTTTGTGATGCAGTTATTTGATAAAAAGTGTTACAATCAAAATGCAGCAGAAACCCTCTTTTGGTTTAAAAAAAAAAAACGAATGTCGGGGATTACTAACGACACACAGTGAAACATTAATGCTGAAAAGGCGTGGACAGTTATTTTTGTGGCTGATCTTATTGCATATGCATTTGTAGGAGTTTACCTTTCAGATGGAAAATTAATGGGAATTTCAATGAGTCATGTAATGTGATGTTTGCGCTAGTCAATTTTCTGGTATTTGCGTCATTATTTAATGCCCCAAAAAAGCATGTCTTAAACCAGATGTGAATTTGCACTGCTCTTGGTAGATTGTGTTGGTCATCATGGAAATGATCAGGTTGTGTCAGTGTTTTTTTAGTAATTGCGTGCCGTTAGTAAATCAATAATAGATCATGCGCAAGTCTTTCCACTCCTATTGGCACTTTTATAGGATTGCGCTCGCACACTGATTTAGCAAATCTGGCAAAAAGGAGAAAAAAAAATGTTGAGTGGTTTATTTTTTATTGGAACTGAACTATGACACTGCGAAATTGAACAATAAAGCTGTAAAGCTGCTTTGAAACAAGTGTTAAAGAAGCGCTATATATAAATAAAGGTGACGACTACTTTTTTACACTATTTTCTAGGGAGTCGGGACCCACAAGCACAATGAGCGTTGCATTTTTAAGAGGCAATATGATGTTTTAGCTTGAACAAACCTGTCTCAAAACGTGCGGTTTTCTCACAGAAACACCGTCTATAAGAATCTGATCAGGGTAAACTACTGTAGCATAATTATTCAGGGTAATCCTTGAGGCAGATTAGTCATCTACTGTAGTCGTTCTTATAACCCACTAATTATTATTATTACTATTATATTTTGCACATCTATAATCGTGCTGCAGCAGGCGTACGACTCAAAAGTTACGGCTCTTTCAACTCTGGCACTTCACATGGTCACAATCTGTGATCGTAATTCAAGTCAGAGTTTGGCCGTGGTTTCCTCCAGCCTGGCACTCGTGTTCTTTTTTCAAGTTTACAGCTCTGTAATTGCGAGGCAGCAATGAGGCCACTGAGGCATCTGACTTGCCTGTGTTTTAATTTTATTAGACCACAGGAAAAAACATGTTGTTCTTTCAAATGTTCAAGCTTTCCTTGATTGTGATTATACAGTCTTGAAATGCTTCTTTTCCCTTGGAACTCATTTCCCCCCGTCTATTTCTCTTTGTTAATGAATCCAGATGGGCACAGTCTGTTTCAGTTTGCAGCCCCCCCTACACAACTCTCTTCCCAACTGCACTCTGATAGGGGAGGTATTATTGAAGTTTTAGTGGCCACAGTTTATGGACGCTATGATTTATAATGTCTGGACAGCAGGCTCATTTGACACTGTGTATCTTTCTCAGCGTTCACAGTGTGAACAGACTGACTTTGTCTTAAAATCAAAGAAAAACCATCGGTTCCTCTAAATGAAAGTGACATAAAGAGCAAATATGGTTATGTATACAATTCTGACTCTGCCATCTGAATGTCTCAACAGAAATCGAGACTCATCAGACCAGGAAACATTTTTTCCAGTCTTCAACTTGCAAATTATAGCCTCTTTTTCCTATTTGTAGTGGAGATGATTGGTACCCGGTGGGGTCTTCTGCTGTTGTAGCCCATCTACCTCAAGGTTGTGTGTGCTGTGGCTTCACAAACGCTTTGCTGCATACCTCGGTTGTAACAAGTGGTTATTTCAGTCAAAGTTGCTCTTCTATCAGCTTGAATCATTCGGCCCATTCTCCTCTGATCTCTACCATCAACAAGGCATTTTCGCCCACTGGACTATATAAATATATATACTATATATATTAGGGGTGGCACGGTTCACAAAACCCACGGTTCGGTTTGTATCACGGTTTTAGGGTCACGGTTTTCGGTTCTGTACGGTTCTTGTTATTTTTTCTTTTAATCTTTAACACTCCAGAAATGTACTTCAGCATGTGATATATAGCTTAATTATCCACACTTTAGGATACAGTATTAAAAATATATATATTATATTCATGCAATCATGCACAAACTGAATTTGACTCTTTGACTTTAAGCACATTTTGGGACTATCTCAGAGGAAAGCTAGGTGAGATTTAGATACAGCAAGAGAGAAGAAATTGACATGCTTTTTGTTTATTTGGCAAAAAAAAAGGAGAATGTGTATCACTATCTCTACAAGAACTTGTGCATTTTTATCACATAAATCTTATTTACACAAAGAAATTAACTTTCATGTATCAACTGCTAACTTTTGTAGCTCTTACCAAAATTCTATCTTTTAAAAGAAAAAGAGAGCAACTCTTAAAACACTGTCTTTTAAATGTCAATATACATGAAACCTCATTGCCTATAGATAATAAAGCTATTGCAATAGCAAAGGCCATAAACATAAAGTGAAATTTAAGTTCAACCTCAACACAAAAACAGTATCAACAATGCTTCTATTCCCAAAATGTGAGGGTACTTTTTTCCACTTAAAATTAAAGTGCAGGGTTTGGAAACGTATGACTGAAGCTCTTATCTATACATAAAGTGCCACTGTAGTTAAATTAAAATATCATAACATGAAATCCAAAATGTTCCCACACACCGGACTTATACCATAGACGCTGGCGCGTCCTCCAACTCCCTCATCTCTCCCACTTGCCATTTCTCCGCGTGCCGTGACCTGCAGCGCTCCATACTCCACTTTTACTGGCTTGTTTATTAACTTGAACCGGCGCTGCACAGAGCGATCGGTAATGACATCAAATACCGCGAAAGTGATGAATGCATACGGAGCCGACTCGCGCTAGATTGATGTTATTCACCGATCGCTCTGTGCAGCGCCGGTCCAAGTCGAACAAGTTTATGTCGCGCGAAAAGAAAACACACGTCACATACGGGCACGAGGTTACATTGCGCATGCGTCGAACCGTGAGACGCACACGCGCTCCGAACCGAGACAAGCGAACCGAACGGTTCGGGTGTTTTTTCATGTACCGTGCCACCCCTAATATATATATATATATATATAAAGTCTATTTTTTCAACAGTTTACTCCATACAAGGGAGTCCAAAATGAACTTTTTGGCACAGTAGTATGAAACTTGGTATTACCGAAAGTTTGGTTGCATGCTCTTGTTGCTCTCCTGAAAATCTCTGTTCTGCCCTGGCACGATTGAGAGGTCGGGTGAAGCAGCCTATTAAGAAGCCAGAACTGTGAGGTCTCAACAAAAATGTTTTACAGCTCTGATGAGGTTGAGAGCCAAGCAGAGAGCACCGTCCTGACATGGAGGGCAGCTTACGTGTTCTGTCTCCCTTGGGCTGCGGAGCACATGCTGGCTCTGTTTAGATGGATTGGGCTGCGCTGACAACCCTCTGAGCCCCTCGTAAATGTGTTCTCTGCAGGCCCGATTGGCCGTTCACACATCCATCTCCTTGTTCTGGCTGTGTTTTATAGGACAGTAAAGTAAGTTGGATTACTTGTCTGAGAGCAAGAAGAAAAGAGAGGGGTCAGGGTCTTCCTGGGTTAGGTTTCTGAAACAGTCTGAACTAAAAAATTGAGGTGAAAAAAAAAACAGAAAGTCTCTTTGCTCGGAAATGAATACCATTAAACTAGAGTGCCTAAACTGTGCTACTTTGTACTGTGTCCATCAAAAGCAAGTGAGAATTGAGAGTAGGAGTGTGTATGTCCGATGAGATTAATAAATTGTTAGAGAGTAGGGGTGTAACGAGACCCTCATGTCACGATTCGGTCTGCATACATATCACAATGCAATATTATTTCGATACTCCAAGGCACATGGTAAAAGGGTTAACGGAAAATGTACTGTTGATTAATATGCTCAATTTGATATTACATTGTGGATGTCAATTAATACATCCTTGGTGCAGGTAACTCAATGCACAGGACAATAGCGACACCAAATAATGCACAGTGACACCAAAATAAAAATATTCATGATTATGAAGCTGAAAATACAGAATTATTTTAGACAAATATGCTTGCACTCTGTCACTGACTAGATATATTTAAAATCATGTAGGCCACGTTTTACTTGTAACATAAGGCATTTGGCATTATAAGGGATCCATTGCATTATTATAACCCCCCCTTGCATTATTATAAATTTTATTCAACATTATATATAGTAGTTTAATGTAGTACTGACACTGAAACTGTGTAAACTAAATTTTTTTCTCACACAGAACTGTTGATTTTGGGTGATACACAATACATATTGTCACTATCAACGATATATAAAGGTTGTATCAGCGATTTCAGGTCGAAACAAAAAATATCACATTCATCTAATCTTATATCACATTATATCACAATATCACATTCATATAACCGTCCTTCGAATGAGACGCTAAACCGAGACGCTCTCACACTCGTTGACTAGATAAGGCTTTTTTCTTTTTTTTTCTTTTTTTTTTAACTTAAGAGGAGTTTCTGTGAGTGTCTGGATTGACTGGAGGCTGGTTGCTTCTTTCCGTTCGCAGAGTCCATTTGAAACACTACTGCTGCTTACTAATGGCTGCCATAAGGATGTAAGCCCAAATTGACGAGAACACACATGACGCACCAATTCGGACCCGAATCCTTCACACACATTTGAGCCTACAGACTGATAGAGGCAACCGTGGTGGACAGTCAAGGTTCTTTCTATTACTTTATGGTTGGCTCATAAATGTCATGAAGACTGTATCTTAAAGATTTTTTTTTAAGTAAAAACCTACACATAGCCCCTTTAATGTATTTTTGCATAGCGATATATTGTGACACAATATATTGTTACACCCTATTAGAGAGTAATACGTCCATAGAAAACAACAGGCAATGACTGACAACAAATGACAAAAACATAAAAAGAATGCAATTTAAAGTTTTTAAAAATGTTTCTCAGAGACATCACTGAAGGACTGGGAGAGATAAGTGCTAAGTCCATATTTACTTCCCATCAACCTGTCACCTGAAATCCTTGTCTGAAAAAGAAAAACCTTAAGCTGTGACCTAGCAACACACATGGATGCGCACACACACAAACACACACAGTCTCATATTTTTTTTCAGGTGCTATGCAATAAATCCTAAAAGGAAAAAACATGTTAATTTATATAAATAATGTATTCATATTAGTAATATAGTTATTTCAGTTTTCCCTTTCTCTAATTGAAATGTTTCAAACAAAACCCTTATTTATAGAGATAATGTTTTTATTGATTTCTGTGATATACATCTTTTATAACATCATAAATGTTCTTACTGTCTCATTTGATCAATTTTATGTTGTCATTGCAGAAGAGTATGCATTTTTTAGTAATTCATTCCTCATTTTCTTAAATCATTAACATTTAATAGGTTTTAATGATTTACTGTGGTTAAAGTCTGAATGTCTGGAATACTCTTTTATGAAAACTATTTCAAATTATAACACAGGCTTATATTTATTCTCAAATGTTACCGAATTGTAAAGGCACTGCCAGGAATAACCCACAAATATTGAGGAAAACATGAATGTTAAATGACTTGAGGGTTGATGATGGAGTTGATAGTCAATACATTTAGGCCAGTGGTGCTGTATCATTCTGAAAGAAGATGCCTTTCCTCACAGATAAATCAGCATCTGCTCTATGACAGAAGATGAAAGATCTACTGAGTGAAATCGCAGTCCTCTCACAATGACAGTAAGGATTTTATGAGGTCTCGGGCAAAGTCAACTGCTCCCACTGGTAAAAGGGTGCAAAACTATCAATCCCTAGCCTTTGAACCTCTAGTAGTCCAAGCAGTCTTCTGCCTACTATTTCATGACACCAGAGCCCAAAGCCTGTAAGCTGTGGACCAAAGCCTACTCTAAATCATCCGGCAGAACCTGTACCTATCACTCCACAGACAGCACTGAACTGACAGTGGCCTCAGCCCCACAGGGCTAGAGAACAGAAACACTAGTCTTCACAAAGGAAGCGTGCGTGGAATGAGAGGCAGATGGCCTGTCGTTCAGCATCCCTCTGCTTTAGTAACCCGAGGAGTCGTGACCTTCAGTCAGCTGTACTAGAGGCCAGCACCTGCAAAATGATATGCAGCTGCGATAGCGCGGGATGAGCAATTGACTTGCGGAGGCATTAAATGCTTCTTTTCTTCCTTCCAAATGGAATTTTGAGCTTTGTTGCACATCGCCGAGAGGAAATTGAATTGTCTTGTGCACACGTCTCAATCGATCTTAGGGGACCATTAAAACATCTCGCGCAATCAATGGAAATCTTTGAAGACATTTTTTTTCTTTTAAGACATGGCTTTGATTGAAGTGTATGTTCTTGAGAATATTGTGTTAGTAATATTTCAGAACAACATGAACGTGAATAGTTGACAGACGTATTTGTGGCGTTAAACTATTCCTTTAACAATAGGATCAGCTAGGATGACGGACTCACCTGCTTGGTTGGTAGTGATGGTGACCGCAGCATAATGGCGGATCGTGGGGGCCTGGGAGGACACTGCGTTTTGGGCCTCAATCTCAAACGTGTAATTGGTGTGTGCCAGAAGGTCAGTCACGGTTACTGTCGTGTTAGTGAGGCCGAAGGCACGGGGCAGGAAGCGCACAGCCCCTCTGCAGGGTTCACACTGTCTGGGACCCGGCCAACATCGCTTACAGACTACGTTAAATATCACATCCTTCCTGCCTCCGCTGTCAGCCGGCCAGATCCAGTCCAGAATCACTGACGTCTCATTAATGGCTGAGATCACATTGCGTGGGGCAGATGGAGGTCCTGTGAAAAGAACATGTGATATAATATAAAAAATATAGTACAACAAAGATTAACAAACACAGTAACACATGTATTGCTCATGGTTTGTTCATGTTTGTTAATACGTTAAGTAATGTTACCTAATGAACCTAATGCAATGATGATCCACAACAATCCAATCCATTTCCGATGGCCAAAATAAAGCTCAGCGCAATATTTTATCCTGTTCGAGCAGCCGCTTTACTTGGATATATGTCACAACAGGGAAGCAAAAACCATCGCAGATTCATGATGACTTTAAATGGAGAGGAAATGGAGACATCAATTTTACAATCGAAATTGTATCAATATGAACTCAAACTATTATTTCAAGATTTACATTTACTGAATTATTTATGTGAAAAATAGTCTAAGTTTCTTTTTTGCTAAGGGATGATAGGAGTAAGATCTGGGACAAAGTTTATACTTAAATAAAACACAACTGAGAACTCCATTAAATCTCACAAGCTATGAAAGAGCAATAAAACATCCCTCTGGGGAAGTACGTTTACTTTAAAAAGTGTGGGTTTAATCGTTAAAGTCATCAGTTATGGATGGATACGGAATTTAGGCAGGCATGTCCTTCCCCTTGTTAAAATGTTGGCAACGCCTCTAGAAATTACTCTGGAGTTCAGAAGTGTCCTCAATGGATTGTTATATTAACTTTAAAGATTGTCTCGATAAAAAGAAATGGGTATGAAGTGAAGCCAGCACTGATACTGATTGAAATAGCAGGCCTAGACATCAAGCTGTTATTTGAATAAGTGACGACTTCTACAGTATGAGAGTGAAGTCTCAGATACAAGATGGACACCAGTTCAAAGACAGATTGTAATAAATAATAATTTTTGATTGTTTCAAGAATTGAATACCTGACCTCTGGGTACTATTACATACATTTCCTCCTAGATCTGCCTTAAAGAGGGTGGTAAGTGAAGAAATGAAGAGCGTAATGTTTGTGTTTGGTTGGTTTGATCTGACATGGATTCGCACACTGAAGCCCCGTAGCTCAGAGAAGGTTTCCTGCCTCTTGAACCTGAGAATCATTTTGACAGACATTTTGTCTGAGAAGGAAAGTGGGAGAGAGGTAGGATTTGATACTACATTAAGAAATAGAACATTACACAAAGGAATCTCTCCCACAAATTCACTGCCGGAACATTCCAGAACACTCCCTGTTGCTTTCGCTTGATTCTGACATGACAATAAATCAGACATTTAGCTTCAAGGTCATATACAGGATTCACCACACTGGCCTTTTTAAAAGCACTTTTAGAAAGAAGAGCAAAAAATCCTTAAGGAATAATTCACTCAAAATGTAATTTTATAAATTATAATCATATTTGCCAGCTCTTGTGGAGGGAAACTTGAACTAAACGTCTTAACTATCAGTCTGGTCTTGTTTTCTCCAAAGGCAGAGAGTATATCACATAAGTCTTAAAAACCAGTGGTTCTCAACCTTTTTGATTTGAAAGCCCCATACTCTACGCCCATATTATGGACCCCCACCACACACCTTTTTAATACTAATCCTTTTTAAGTTTGTTGAAAAAAAAAAAGAAAAAAAAAAAACGTTTTTCTTTTTTTTATGTAAAAGATTACCGTTATTTTTACTGTAAAATGCAATGGTGAAAAACTGTTAAGTTTACAAACTATATACGGTGAATAACTGTGATCTAACCATACATTTTTACAGTAAATTACCAGTAACCGTTATATATATATATATATATATATATATATATATATATATATATTAGTATTAACTTTCTCAGCTTGTGGAAAAGCAGCTTGGTTGTCAGTGTATTGCACCAGAATAGTACAAAACAGATATTACTTCTATATGTCAATTTAACATCAGAATGATACATATATATATATATATATATAACTTAAAATGTTGCTAACATTTTTTACTGTAAATTTCTGGCAACTACAGCTGCTGTTTTTTTTTTTTTTTTTTTTTTTTGTTATATAAATAAACGGAATTGTTTTCTACAGTGAACTTTCATTTGACAAAGAATAGCAATGTGGTTATTGATTAAAACTATTACAAATAATTTATGGCAATATAATATACCGTAAATAAAATAAAATCTAAATAAGGAGTAAATGATGCACCATTTTCATATTTGTCTGAGCAATTCATTTTCCTATTTTAAAGTATCTCTCATCCCTGATCTTTCCTTTCTATAAAAAAAATAGTATCATAAAAAGGAAGTTTTCTGTGCCAGTGCTGATATAACAAAATGCCTTACATAAAATAAAGTCTCTTTTTATAGGAAGGAGGAAAAAGTAGTTATATGTCACTAGGTAACATCTTTGCCAGAGCAAGGCGTTCTTTGAACCTGACATTTAATAGAAATCACAGTGAGCAGGTAATGTTAACAGACTGGTTCTCCTGTTAGCGGTGCCAGGGTAAGCCATCCATAACACAGACAGTTCAGTCTGACAAGAAGCCCACAGAAGTGTGACTACAGCCTTCATATTAAAGTGGACCTCAACAATCACCACCATAACATGACATTCTCTGTGATGTTTGCATCTATTTTGATAAGTGGTACAATTATATAACACATCCGGTGTTGACATTTTCCTCACGTCAAGGATTTACGCAGCAGAATATCGCCTTTATGAGGTCATAAAAAAAAGGAGACAGGCAGAAATAAACAAGTCCATTTATACGTACTAAAAACAGGCATAAATATGTATGCCTTTGAAACGTTCAACAGTGATTAAATGCCGACCTTCACTGACACGGTGTAGAATGCAACATAAACTGCAAATTTTACAAAGCAATAATTCAAGGAGCAACTAGCTATGCGTATAATGCAGCCATGACCTGAATAATTCACGTAAAACAGTGAGAAAAGAAAAAAAAACATCTCTGAAGAACTCAAAATGACCTTCCGCAATTATCGCAGATATTATCGTGCGTCGTCTTCTTTTAATTGCAGTTCCGCTCTCAGAGCTGCACTTAAAGCGTATCTGTTCCACTGCCTGCATCCGAGCAGATTCTATCAAGATAAATGTATAAACTCGAGGGCTATGACAATATGAAGTGGAGGAATTAAAGACGTACGCTCTGTTCAAGCGTTCCCCCCCCCTCACTGTACCCATCAAAGTCTTAAACTAACATTGGCAATGAGTGCTTAGTGGAAATGAAGACTCAGTATTGCTTCTGACAGCCTAAATAAAATGCGACTCACATGAGTGTGGCATGATCCAACGTGCTGACTACTTCGGATGTCACGTAAGATACACCCGATTAAACTTGGCCGCAGAATTCAATAAGGCTCTTGGTGGTTATATGTGATATGAATCAGCACTGATAGCAATGCAATGATTTATGGATAATGTGTTTTGGAATGCTTGGCAGTCGCTGCATGCATCTGTCTACCATCTGCCTGCTTCTCCATAAAAGAGAATGGGTTAGCTTGCTCCGGTGAGCAAACCCAAGGAGGCCCGTCGGCTGAAATGGTAAAAAATAAGCAAACACGGACTATTCTCGGTAGGATGGCTTGAAGGCCGCAGAGGGGGTATCGGAAGCTTTGTCAGAATGAGCAAACACAAATTCATCAATCCTTGAACAAACACCATCCTTCAAAAAGCTCCTGTGCTTCTGAGGGCTCTGTGGCGAACAGGAACATAAATAGTTATCTGTACAATAACGTAACTTGTAAATGTTTGTGGATATGTTGTTATTTACCGTTTTATATCTAAAGGGATAATCTGCCAAAACATGAAAAAGTGTACGCGAGTTGTGGACCCGCCTATAGGTGCACATCACTTAATTTAAATAACAAAACAAATATAGAGTGCTGTATTTGTTACGACGTCACTCTGTAGGCAAAACGCGGAAGTGAGTTAGCATTTTAGCAATCCCGGTTCCCTCGCTCTAAAGTCTATGGGTTTTTGCTAAATCGCCTGAAATAAGGTCTGTGAAATAAGGACGTTTTGATCTATGACATAGGACACACAGTTATAACCTGCTTGTGGTTTTTGAAACTTTATTGTGTCTGGTTGTGTTTTTATAAAACTTTATATAGTCTTCAAAATGTATACATTTTGGATTAACTTGTAAAGATTATTACTCTTAGTTAAACACAAATCTTATTTTTTGCGATTTTCCAAAAATCTAAGGGGAAAATGGATAGCTTTTCGATCAAGGGAAGCCATGTGCCGCTAACTTCCGAGTTGTCCTACAAAGTGATGTCATCACTTCGGCACTCTATTGCACCACTGACTTTAGACCAGGTTAGCGCAGTCTATAGCGCAATAGCGCAGTCTATTTTGGTTGCCTCAAAATAGCAACGTGTATTTACAATGCGCATGAACACACCTTATTTTCAGACCAGCACACCCATGGATGCAGAGATGGGCGCAAATGCATTTGCTATTTAAACAACGCGGCGCCGGACGTGAAAATGATAACTGCGTCAGGCTGAAACTAGCAAAAGTTTATAAAATCTTTTTTTTTTTAATGTTTCACAGAAGAAAGTACCACAGACAAAGTTGCAAATGCAAAGTTTAAACTATGGAAAGTGGAGAAAATGTACTTCAGTAGTTTAGCAACACATACGGGAGCAGGCCATAGAGGCGGGATCCTCTTCTGCGCGGAAGTAGTTTTTCTCGCATCCGCAGTGGACGGAGCCCTCCTGGTGTGTGTAGCTGTGTGGAGGACACTTGGAGCACTTGACGTTCCCGGAGGAGGCCTTATAAAAGCCGGGCCGGCAGGCTGTGGAGACAACAACAGGAGGAAAGACAAATTAGGATGCTGGGAGACTCTAGCCAACAGGACCATTCATTACCCCATTTACTTTGCTGCCACTTTTAATGGAGCGAATCATTTCACATGACCATATGCATCGGCGGACACAATGGAAAGACATTTAATCATCTGGGTGAACTTAAACAAACTAATAGCTGTACCAACAGCGCTGAGATGTGCGTACGGTCGGCCACACGCATATGCGAGCGAACGTTATGACCTCATAGGAAAGAAATATTATTTCTAGACAGCAACAAGATTAAATGAAGAGCAAATGGAGACGGCTTCTTAGTTCTTACAAGTGTCTCCTCAAGAGATTTAATAGAAGATAGAGATTTGCCAAGATATCAACGTCTGAAGTCTCAATATGAAGTCAAGCACTTTTCCTGACAAAAATTGAAAGCTGCGCCATTCATATTCACTGTATTGCTCCATACTATATGATATTTGTTCAGATGTGGTTTATGAAATGCATTCAGAAATGCATAACATGCATTTATACAAAAAATGACTTGAATACACAATTATGGTTAATTGTTATTGTTATTATTATTATTTAGGTATTCAATGAAGTTTCAGGGTGATATAACTGTAATAATCAACAATACGCCAATAAATTCGTAGAAAAGAACAAACAGAAACAGGAAATTATATCACCCTCATGACTGTAAAATACTGTTCAGGTATTTTTTTTTTTAATAAGTATCTTATGCTTACAGAAGTTGCATTTATTTGACCATAATTACAGTAAAAGCAGTAATATTGTAAAATATTATTATAATTGTTTTCTATGTTAAGATTACAGCCATTACTCCAGTGTTCAGTGTCATTTAATCCATTTCTAATTTCCAGAAACATTTCTTATTATTTATTAGCCCTTACACCCAGAAGGCATATATACTGTATATGTATATATGATTTTACATCTAAGCGTCATACTTAAAAGTATTGGCTTATAACTTCAAGTTCATAGTCTTATTTGATAGGAAACCTTTCAAATTTTTAAAATAAATAATTAAATAAATGATTTTAATCACGTTTGGAGGTTCATATTTTACACTGCTGAGAAAACCCCAGAACAATTTATGCAATTTATTAATCTACAGTATTTTGTTATTATTCATACTTGGCATGGTGACTATTAGAAAGTATATATGACAGGTCATAAAATCAAGTTTGGGCTTGTTCACAATCATGCAATTGGGCCAAATTTTGTGTTTATATTTCAAAGCAATCAAAAGTTAAGGCATTTGGAACGATGCTGACATCCTTTTAATCAAAAGTCCAAAAAAAAAAAAAAAAAAGCTCTCCAAACAAGTCTTTTACTGAACAAAAAGACTGCTTACACGTGTAAATGTACCAATAAAACATAATCATATTTATAATAACATTGTAAGTAACAAGTAATAAGATCCTGGTTGATTAATGATGATTTTCCAGCGCTCTTTCTATGGTGCACAGTAAAACAAGACCTGTCAATATGAGAGATCGATCCAATCCAAGCGTGCTGTAAAACAGTGTCGATTAGTCTCTGCCTTTCTCGGATATGGAACACATTTTTCAAAACAACATGACTATAAAGATTAGTATAAAGATAACTATAAAAAAAATTCTGAGGAATTTTTAGAGGAACATTTGTATGTTTAAAGTTCAAAGACTGAAATATAATTAAAAAAACCTTTTTCCTGCAGGGAGGAGAAGATTTGAAAGGCTAAAGTCATAGATATGTGATAAAGTATGTTTAAAAATACTTTTAAAGTCTTCTTTTAATGTCACATTCAGTAGCTGTTTCATGAATTATGCAAATACACCTCTTTATAATGAAAAAAAAAATCTCTGCTATTAAAGTGTATCTCATCAGCTCATCCATCCGTATTCATGAGAATCCCATTCCATTACCCATAATGAAGAGGGAAAATCATGATGAGCTGGCTAATTACTAGAGCTCACACACATCTGTATTCCACTCCCTTGTTGTTGCAGGTTCAATACCTGATACAGTTACTGAACCAAAGCTTCAAGTCAGCACCGTCTAGCTAGAATCAATTGAATTCTACTTCAGGGCGAGAAAAAACAATAGGGTTTTATTATTATAGAAGCAGCAAGGTCAGGTTCTTCCCTGGGAATACAGCAGAAGATCATCATACCATTTAATAAAGGCTTTCTTGGGTGGGATGCATGCATCCACTTCCAATATTTAAGTTTATCATGTTTATTATCTCACAGTCAACATTCCCATGCACCTACATGCCTGTAGATTCTCATGAGAGGGTTTCTTATGCACAGCGTGAGCAGAAGATGGCATGGAGAGTACCTGTGATGCATGAGAACGCAGGTTTACATTAACCTGTTTCTCCTCAGAGGCACTCCATTAGGGACTGCACAAAATAAGTCTGGTGAAGAAAAACAAGATCAGGTGCTCTTAATAGCATTTGTTACAGGGAATCTAATCTGACATACTTTTACTTCTGCAAATTAGAAAATGAATAGTCCTGAGCGTGATAAAAACACACCTGTGTGGTCAGAAGAGATCTGAAGACCACAGAGGAACATTTTATTGCTTAGGGTTGGTGTTTTCAGACACTCAGAAAATGACTTAATTACCCTTAATTTTTTTTAAACACAATTTAATTGAAAGTCATTATCACACAATTTAGTTGGGTTAGGTCAAATTGATGTAGATTTAATTTGAAATGATCTAAACTAAATCTTCTCATGCCATTCCAGCTTAATTTAATTACTCTACTAAGGTAAATTTAATTTGTTTTATTTTGTCAGTCCTACTTCATTTTGAATAGTTTTATTAAATAACTAAGGTTTAATACATTTTCTTATGTTGGTTTAATGTAAAGTACTTTAAGAACTAGTTTAACTATTATAATTTGAATAATTATGTTTATACATGGTACAGTTAACTTGTTTCATAGTATTTTAAATGTATTTTATTTCAATTAGAGTAAAATTGATTTATTTTCTTAGTGCTAATACTTATTTTTACCTCAGGAGACTGAAAAAAAATCCTTGTGAGAAGGGTTCTCATTGCTAACTAAAACTAAAGCTAAAACTATTACAAATTGTTATATAATAGTATAATAATAATACCAAATTAACACTCGTGAGAATTACAATCGACCTAATTGAGAGAAGTGTTGACATACAGTGAAATCATGTACCTTATGGCAAGCATAATTTGGTCCTGGAGGACACTGATGAGAGTTCATGTTCAGAATTTTTATTGCAGACTTGAGTTGACAAATCTGAGCACAGTCCGAGACATTTTTCAGATTACCGTTTTTTTTTTTCTTCAGGAAAGTATGTTATAAGGAAAACATTTCCATTTGTTCTCTAGGAAAAACACTTTAAGATCTCAATTGTGATTTTCTTTCTTATGTGGTTGGTCAGACAAGAAAAATGTATTTTCTTCCAATCAGCGTTGATTTTGCGACGCCCTTGACAAGCAATGAGAGTTACTTATAAATAGAAATAAATTACACTAGCCAAAAATAAACAAAGGAGATGCAAGACAAAGAGTCTCTTGGGTCAGCGAAGCAGGTGATGATGGAGAGAAAGGTGCCCCACTTTCCGTCACGAGAGCTATAACCTGACAGCTCTTTAATAGAAGCCAGGGAAACCAATGGCTCTCGATGACACCATCCTCTCATCTCTCCAAACTCTCATTCGTGAAAGGCTATGAATGACATTACCCAAAGCTGTGCCTGCACTTCCTCCATGTAATCCAAACGCCTCAGATGTACAGGGGAGCGCTGAGTGTGGGATGATATATACGTTTGTGTGTCTAACACGACGTGCTGAGGTGGAAGCGCTTTGTGTGTGTGAGCTCGGGGGCTGTTATTGATTACACGTGTGGTGCGAGGAGACGTTGGGGCTCACTCCCGGGCTAACAGGCTCGAGAAGGGAGTGAGATCGCTACAGAGGTGATTTCTCATCCAGGCCTCCCAGCACACGCTCCTATTCGCACTTGCTCTTAACAAGAACACACACATGCTCTCCCAAGAGCGACTCTTAATAAGGATATGAGAGATGATCTTATTACTTTGTCTATCTTTTCTTCGCTATCTCGATGATGTTTGATGGTGGGGCGCTCGAGTCAAATCAACAGAACTGTGAAAGAAACCTTAGCAAGGGATAGAGAAATCAATAGCTATAGCAGTAAAACGAAAAGCAAATGGGACACAATTTTCAACGGGACAAAAAGTTTAAAATGATTTAAACCCCAAAATTAAAATTTTGTAATCATTTACTCATGCTCAAGTTGTTCCAAATATTTAGTTTCTTTCTTTTGCTGAAAACATAAGAAGGTATTTTTTTTTAAGAATATGGGTAACCAAACAGTTGACAGCACCCCTTGACTTGCATAGTAAAGAAAATTATTTTTGAAGTCAATGGAGCCCATTCATTCTTTGGCTACCGATATTCTTCAAAATATCTTATTTTGTTTTCAGCAGAAGATTGAAATTCATACAGGTTTGAAACATTTTGGGGGTTAAGTAAATGATGACAGACTTTTCATTTTTGGAGAACTATCCCTTTAATCGTTCCATTCTGCAGAATTCATTCTGTGCCGATCTGGCCCAGCCGTTATGGATTTGGTTTCATTTTCCACTGTGGGGCTGATAACAGAGCTCTTTTGAATTCATTACAAATGCGTCAATCCTGAAGTCGTTGCAAGAGCTTACAGCAAGCATGACCAGCTCCAAAAACTGTGTCCCAATTCAGAGGCTGCACCCTTTGAAGGCCGGATTGGAAAACCGATCGCGAAAAACGAAGGCTGTTCCAATTTGAAGTGTCCTTCAAATGCAGGCTCGAAATACGTCTTTTTTTCCCCGGGCAATGAAGGAGACAACAGATGAATCCTTCATGGTCTACCCTATCCCAGAATTCATTGTGAGTTGGTGACAACATGATTTTTTTTTTTTTTTTTGGAATCTAGTGAGAGAGAAATTGCT